TTGTGATACTCTATTTGTGACTAATCTGCCAGCTCTTCCAGGTCAGGATGATATTATTCCTAATGTCATGTCTTAGAGCCTCACACAGTGCCCAGACAGGGGAAATGGTCATATATATTGTGATAGACACTGGACCTGGAGTCAGATAACCCAGAAAGCAAGTCTTAATTTTTCTGGGTACTCCCTTTTGCTATCTAGTAGGATCCTGGGGCATATCTAAGTTTTCATCATAGAAAATTATATAAACCTTCATCTTCTAAACTCAATGTAAAACCTACCTTCTGTGAAAATATCTGATTTTGTTGCTAGTTAACAACTTAAAATGAGGATTTCTTCATTAGATCTCTGAAGGGGCAAAGAGAAGATAGGATTCCTCTAACAGGTGGAGCCATGGAGTTCATGTTTCAAGGAGATTTTCTGTAATCCTACAAGTTGAGTCATATTTCCTAGCACAAGCTCTAATTCTATGTTCTTAATTGCTATTGAGCTGTTTTTTCTACTTATTTCTGCTGTGTGTTTCAAATCAGATCCTTAGAAAATGAAAGAAAATTAAGCATGGGATCTAAACCATTTGATTAATACTGCATCTTATAGAGGGAGGAAGGCTGTTTCCTGGGTTTTTTTTTTTTTAATAATACCAAGTAAAAATTATATTTCTAGAAGGCATCACTGGATCTGCAACTCATTTTCACAGGATGTAAGCAATAGCTATTGTTGATCCTACACTCCTGAAAAGTGCTTTAAGTTTTTGTTTTTTTTAATGTCACTTCAGGTCATTAGTTTTGAGCACCAGAAGAAAAGTTGTCTTTTCTCATATTAATTTTGTGCTGATTTCTATTTTAGCTAGTACAACAATAAAGATAAATTCTAGCAATTACGGTTGAAAATTCAGCTTGCAGGCAGTGGAATCAAGGAAGTCTGTGGTGTTTGAAATATGATTATCATATTTCTCTGAGGAAGAGTTATACACAGTCAAGTAAACAAGTCAGATCTAAATGTAAAAGTCAGATCCTTACCAACCTGGAATTAAGGGCTTACCAGTAATAAAATCTACTTTAAATTGTGTGGGGAAGATGACTACACTATTCATACTACACCTAGAAATTTAACTGCTAAATAAAGGATCTTAGCAGCAAGTGACTTCAAACTATAAGCATACAAAAAGAGAGTAGGAGTAAACTCTTCTATAACTTGGGTATAGAGGCAGACTTTCTAACTATTTAAGTCCAGATGGCAAAAAAAAAAAAAAAAAGTAGGACTAATTAAACTAGTGCATTGCAAAAAATACTATAAGCAAAATCAAAATACAAATAACAAATTGGAAAAAAATGGCATTATTAGACAAAGGGCTAAAATCCTTAATATAAGATTTTTTTTAATCCACAGAGAAAAAGGACTATATACCTTAGAAAAATGGACAAAACACATGAATTTGGTGGCAATTCACCAAAAATGGATACAAAAATGACCCTTAAACATGTTTTTACAAGTTTTTCATTCATAGTAACAAAAATGCAAACTAAAACTACAGTGAGAATGGTACCACCTCTATGGTAGAGAATTTGGCAATGTTTAATAAACTACATATACATTTACTCTTTGACCCAGTAACTCCAACTTCTAGGAATTTACTCTTTGAGATATACTTCCAAAAATGTCAAAATACTAACATGTGAGATGAGTATTACTGCATTATTTGTGTAATTGTAAATGTTGTAACTACTTAAATACCCAAATATGAGAGAATGATAAGTGAAAACTATGGTATTTAAACTCAATGGAATACTATGTAGCTATGAAAAAGAGGATCTTTGTAAAATGACAGAGAGTGATTTCCAGCATAGATTATTGGGGGTGGGAGGGAAGAGCACACACACACACACACACACACTTTTTGTGTAAGAAGGGAAAAGTAAAAAATACACAAAACTGTTTATTATAGCAAAAAGAAATGCAGAAAGGGTAAACAAGAATGAAATTATTTACCTACAGCTGGTAGACCAGAAAGGAGTGAAAGGGATAGGGAAGGGAGAAAAGATTTGAGTACACATTTTGAATGGTTAGACTTCTGGAAGTATGTAAATGTTCTACATATTAAAAAAATAAAATTAAATCCTGGACTAGAGGGAAAATCATGCTATGTAAGGAAATTGGGACAGCTGACAAAATTGGAATATGGACTATAAAGTATTAAAAAATAAAAATTTTAAAAATTAAAAAAATAAAGTATTAAATCATTGTTAAATTTTCTGGAAGTCTAACTGCACTGATGTCATGTAAGACAACATCCTATTCCTAGGGAATATACATTAAGTATTAGGGGTAAAGGAGCATTACTCCTTGAAACCTACTCTCAAAAGACTGAAAAAAATTTTTATGTGTGTGTGCATATTCACATCTGAATGAGTACGTATGTATGTAATATACACACATATGATTTTTTAAAATGACAAAATGTTAAAAATTAGTAAACTGAGTAAAAGGTAAACAAGTTCTCTATTATTCTTGCAAATCTTCCACCAAATTCAGTATTATTTCAAAATAAAAATTTAGAAAAACATGATCTAGGGGTGCCTGAGTGGCTTAGTCAGTTGAGTGGCTTAAGTCAGTTGAGTGTCTGCCTTCAGCCGAGGTCATGATCAAGCCCCAAATAGGCTCCCTGCTCAGTGGGGCACGGCTTCTCCCTGCCCCTCTCCCACTCATGCTCTCTCTTTCAAATAAATATGTAAAATTTTTTTATAAATTAAAAAAAACCCAAAAACCCATGATCTAGCTTTAAGCCATGACTAAAACTCTATCGAGATTGGGATGATAAACCATTGGGAGCTTTTGTCTACGATGGATGGATAGATGGATTGACTGATTTCAGTATTTATAGTAAGACATTTTAATAAATGTAAAACGGATACCTTCATTTTATGCGTCCTATTTCCAGATTGTCACAGGACCAACAGAAATGCAGTTGTGCCTCTCACCCTATTAAGCAATGGCTTTTTGCCTTTGGTAATTTGCTCCAAGTCCAGATACACCCTGTAATCAACTCAAATGCAGTAATAGGTAGACTGGATTTACATTTATATGCTTACAGTTGAGCAAATACTGATTTTTAAATACAGTAAACATGAAACCTTTGAAACTAAACAGGAAATGTGATCAAGGGTACTTAATGCAGTAGTGTTGGTGTCTCCACATGAATTATCAGGACTGTAGAGTGGCTCTAAGAAGCAGAAGAGTGTGGCCTCGGTCAACCAGCCTGATACGCACGGCGCTTCCTTCAGTTAATCAACTATTACGTGCCGTCACTGGCCAAGAGCCCTCTGAAAATCATTCACTACTTTTGATGGCAAGGTACACAGATTGAACATTCTTGCATTTGACCCAAATGGAATAGTAACATTTCAATTATGCATTGAAAAGCAGTACAGTCATCCTTCAAAACAGACAATGGTGGTTTAACTAAAAGAGGTTGACAAATCGGATGTGTAAACATCAGGATGTCAAGTACCAAGCTGAAAATACACCTTGATATAAGGACTAAAATATTTGACTACATAATTGGGGGTTCTAATTCAACAATTTTTGTCAGTAATCATGCTAAAGCAATTGCAGAAATATGTAGCTAACTGTTGGGAGTTAAGTCTGGGGAGAGGATTACAGGGAAATACATTTTTAATACATATTCCGTTTGAATTTTAAAGAATAAATATACATTGCCTTTATAATTTAAAAAAAACTGTATTTAAACTATAATTTGAATCTAGTGAAGTGTCACAGTCAAGATATACAAATGTGCTGGCAATAGCAAGCTGTGTGAACTGGCTTTACAGAAATCAAACTAAAATTCTAGTATCTTCAGACTTAGCTAATAAACAATGACTTAAAAAGTATTAAAAGGGATAAGCAAATGACAAAATGCAGACATTTTTCATTCAAGAATATGGAAGCTCTTTGGACTTAAAACACAAACCTTTATTCTATAAAACTTTTACAATAATCTTAATGGTAATTAGCTTTAAAAAGTTACAGAACACCATGAATTAAATGCATGATAGATTGAAAAATCAGATTACACTGGGGTAAGTTATTTTTAAATACAGTACATTTCAAAAGACAAATTTTACAATGGGAAACTTTTTAATTTAATTTTTCTAATAAAGGCTTTTTCTCTTTGAAAGTTTCTTCTTGAACCATTATTTGTAAAATTTATCAATTTCCTTAGTAACAGGCAGAGCCAGGTGAAATATGTAAAGCAATTTACATCTAAGATTAGAAGGCTAATTTGGTATTACTGCATAGGCTTAGTATTATTGCATAGGTTCCAAATTTACTGCAAAACTATACTAACTTCCTTCTTTCAGATTTGCTGTTGCATCATCCTATTTGCCATCTAACAGTTGAAGCACCACCTTGTGGCAAAAATAAGAGCTTCTCAAAGACAGAAGACTGGTTATCCAGAGGAGAGGGGAGAACATGCAGCGGGCTTCCGGGGCACTGGAGATCGTCTAGTTCTTGACCTGCACAGAGGTGCCATGAGTACTCACCTTATAATTCTTTATTAAACCACATGACTTTTCTGTTTTTGTACTCTGTAATTTTAAAAGTTTAGGGGAAAGAAAAATGGTTTCTATGGACCTGATTTAAGTCATATGCCTAAATGCTTGAACTTTCTAAGCACCAGTCATACTTCCTAGAATTTCCTAGAACTACAATGCATTCTTAATCTTGTAAATGCACTGCTATATTTTTGTGATAGGAACAAAACACCAGAAAGGGGTATATTCTTTTGGGAAATGATGGAAGGATTTTTTCCCTCAATGTTTTCATCACTGCTCTCTCGGCCTCCAAGAGCAACTGCAGGTGTTCTGCAATCATCTGGAATCACCCATACACACCTGAAAATGTCTGAAAACCCAAAAAACCCTAGATTTTATGGCATCGATACAGAACAGCAAGGCTCTATGGCATATTTAACTACATTAACAATATTCCATCAGAAAGGATTTTCTTTCACGTTTTATTTACCATATTGAAGCGACACAAACTGTTAACAAAATGACTTGGATTTGCTGAGAATTTCACTTCTCTAATTGCCATGGAATCACCTTTCCTAGGAGCCATCGGTATGACATTTAGTACCTCTGTCATACCGTGGAGCAATTTTTAGAGGAAAAAGTCTTTTTTTTCGCAAGAACTTTGTCAGCATGCTTTCGTGACTGTCTCCTACATTTCCCAGATGCCGCCACCCAAGCCTGCTCCCACTGTACATGGAAAGCAACTCTCACTCCTGGCTTCACTGCTGCTGGGAACAGTAAAGATGTTGGGACAGGTACCTGAAAATATTTCACAGGCCAATGCCTTTGCTGAGTTAATGCTGTCTGCTCACTTAATCTCTTTGCTCAAGTTGGGTACAAAAATTTTTTTTTTTAAATATTTAAAACACGTTTCATCCCAATTTATCCCACAGAATGTTATATCCCAGTTCTTGACCAAGGCCATTTCCCCAAGGGCTATAATATGGAGAGAGCCACTATGCAAATGTTCTTTTATAATTTGACATAGTCCAGGTGTGACCATGCCAGTAATCATGAATATTGCTCAGTCAAGTGTTGAATTCTGCAAATGAAGAAATGTCAGGCTGTTGTACCACCAAGACCTGTGACTTCCCTAAGGAGTCTTTAAATATAGCTACCTCAGAAATGAAAAGAAGAAATACTCAGGGGGTGTTTTAACAGTCTAAAGATGGAGATGGAATTATTGAACTTAGATCTGAAGAGGTCAAATTACGTCCCCCTCCCCCCGAACTCAAGTAAAGAAATACAAGCTTGCCCACGGCCGTATCCCCTGAACGTGCCTGATTGCAGAAGCTAAGCAGGGTCAGGCCTGGCCAGTACTTGGATGGGAGAAAATATGGGCTTGACAAAGCTGCTTCATTAAGATTTCTGGAACTGGCCATGTCCGATGTTAAGATAGAATATTATTAATATGAAATTTTGGCATTCAGAGTCCACAGAAATTCTATTTCAATATTTTAATCTAATATAATGCTCAACTGATCACTCTATCTAAAAAAGTTCAATATTTTCTAAGGAAAATACGGTTAAGAATAGGTTTTTTTTTTTTTAACACTTTTCCTTGTAGAAATAGATGAGAAAGCTCTAAGTAAGAGAAGAGAGAACCATAAAGAATGAAGAAAATGACTAAAGGGAACCCAATGGGAATACAATCTTTTAAAAATCTGCTACAACTAAAATCAAAAGCTTAATAATTCTGAGATTTTTCTATTTTTTAATACAAATATGTCTAATTTTCAAAGCATAAGATACTTCTAACATTCAAAGTCTCAGTGGCTGAACTATCACAAGCTTTAGAAAAAGAACAATACAGAGTAATGAACAGCGAGCGAGCTTAGGCACAGTTTCACAAAAATTATTTTACCTTCAGGAAATCCAGAATCTCTAGAAATTATTAAAATTATAAAGGGGTGAAATTTTATAAGCTCTTTTCCTCAACTTCAGCTAAACGTAACTACATTAAAATAGTCATAGTCTTTGATCATGAAGCAGAAATATATAGTGATAGACTTCTTTTAACCCCTACTCTCAAGAATGGTATTTAAGCGAAGCCCTCATTCAGTAAGACATACACTAATAGGTGTAAAGAAAATAACATTCTGATTTTATAGAGCAGCCCCAGGTAATGTTAACAACTAGATTAAAAAAATAAGGAGAACCAATGTTATTCTGTATGTTCTTGAGCTGGGAAGCTTCTCAAAGGAGTCATGTTCAGGAAATGATACTCAAAAACATAAATTCTTATACTTTATAAATTTCCCTGTTAAGTCTCCTTCAAATTCTTTAGTTAACAGCAATACTTTAAAAATCTTCAACTGTAAACTCTTAGCTTGCAATGTTTTGATTTTTCCTGAATCTTGAAAACCTCAAAGTTATATTAAATATATTATCTTCTGTTTCTTCTTAAAGAACTCATGTTCATAAAAGGATCGTCGTCATCCTGAAATGACATACAAATGTTACATGAGTGACGGTTCCGTGCTTCACTCAGACAAGATAGACAAGCTCGTGGGTAAACAACAATACCAGTAAAAGCCATTTCCTCCTTTCACATGACATAGACTTTCATTGTTCTATTTCCTTTATGAATATGAATAGTCTGTTCATTTATCTTTTCCTCCCTTCCCTAGTAGCTATTTCACCGTGGAAGTAAGTCAATTCAATTCTTAGGAAGCACTGAAAATAACTGATCCTGATATATTTATGTGCGTGTGTGTATGTACCCTACAATAGATACCATATACATTTCTCTCAATTATTAACCTTAATAGAGGCAAATAAGGTATGGTAAGCCAGGAAAATTAATACTCTTCAAGTCATTTCTGTTTGCTTTTTGAATAGGTTTTTTTCCAATTACATTTTATTACTGGTGTTACCTAATGTTCTGGAAACTCACCCCCCAAAATAATGGAAGGCACATGACCTAACTCAGAAATAGCTATAATTTTTATTTCCTATTACCCATTTCATGCCAGCAGCAGACAGCTACTCTCAGACTGCTGCAAAAAGCACCAAGCAAATCAAATTCTTTCAAATCTCTTTCTGGAAAAAGAAGCCATATGAAAGAGTTCTCATGCTGGAATGAGGCTGAAGATTATATGCATAGTAAGAGCAGGCAGGAATATCAGATATTAGAACTAGCAATTTGCTTAAAGAGTAGGAAAATTAACAAATCTCAGATAAGCCCCAATTATAAAATTTAGATGAGGATAACTTAAAATTGATTTTTATGTATTCTCCAGTTAAATATTCAGGGAAAGCAAATTTGTCTGTAAATTTTTTCTTTTTCTTTTTTAATTAATTTATTTGAGAGGGAGAGAGAGCAAGAGACCACAAGTAGGGGGAGTGGCAGAGGGAGAGGGAGAAGCAGGCTCCCCACTGAGCAGGGAGCCCGATGCAGATCATGACCTGAGCAGACACTTAACCGACTGAGCCACTCAGGCGCCCCTGATTTATGTTTAAGACATTGATAAAAAGGGGTAATTATTTGGTGTTAAGCTTTGTTGGTGATATCACCATCAACACATTCAAATGTTAGCTAAAATAACTATCTCTAGTGAGAAATGAATGCCTTGAAAAATACAAACTCACATTTATTCATTTTCTGCTATTAACAAAGGCAGAACTTATTAAAAACCAGAGATAAATCCAACTTGAGGCATAATAATTTGCTAGTTGTTTTCCTTTGCAGTTAACATGAATTATATACAAATCTTTAACTGTAACATTTAACATGTCTATCTAGATGTTTGGAATGAACAAATGAGTCCACAACTGCTTGCTTCCCTCCTCGAGGCAACACGTGACTATCTCACAGGGAGACTGAGCTCATGCTACTGTTCTTCTCTGCAGCCTAAACTGCTGGTGAGTCCTCTCCTCAAGCTGGTTCAAAACCACAGCTGGGATACAGGAACATGACAGCAACAGCTGAAGCTCAAAAATGAAAGGTGTGAGTCACATGCTATGGCAGGGATGAACCTGTAGGACATTATACTAAGTGACATAAGACAGTCACTAAAAAGATAAATACTGTGACTCCACTTACAGCACTGTATCTAAAGCAGTCCAATTCAGAGAAACAAAAATTAGAATGGTGGTTACCAGGGGCTGGGAGGAAAGGGAAATGAGGAGTTGTTCGATGTGTGGATATTTTTAATTCTGGAAGATAAAAAAATTCTGGAGATCTACTGCACAACGAAGTGAATATACTTCACACTAGAGCACTGCACACTGAAAAATGTTTAAGATGGCAAGTTTTTTTTTTTTTTAAGGATTTTATTTATTTATCTGAGAGAGACTGGGAGAGTGAGAGAGAGAGCATGAGCAAGGGCAGAGGGAGAAGGAGACTCCTTGCTGAGCGGGGAGTCCAATGTGGGGCTTGATCCCAAGACCCTGGGATCATGACCTGAGCCAAAGGCAGACGCTTCTTGGACTGAGCCACCCAGGTGCCCCTAAGATGGCAAATTTTACACCATATGTTTGTACCACAATTAAAAAACTTTTTAAATAAAAATAAAGAAATGGGGTGCCTGGGTGGCTCAAGTCGGTTAAGCATCTGCCTTTGGCTTAGGTCATGATCTCAGGGTCCTGGGTACAGCTCCCTGCTCAGCAGGGAGCCTGTTTCTTCCTCTCCCTGTGCCCCTCCCCCCTGCTTGTGCTCGCTCTCTCCCTCAAATAAATAAAATCTTTTAAAAAATTCAAAAAAGGGGCGACTGAGTGGCTTAGTCATTAAGCATCTGCCTTCGGCTCAGGTCATGATCCCAGGGTCCTGGGATCAAGCCCCGCATCGGGCTCCCTGCTCTGCGAGGAGCCTGCCTCTCCCTCTCCCACTCCCTCTGCTTGTGTTCCCTTTTTCTCTGTGTCTCTCTCCGTCAAATAAATAAATAAAATCTTTAAAAAATAAATAAATTAATTAAAATTAAAAATTAAAAAAACAAAATAAATAAAAATAAAGGAATGAAAGGGGTTATAGACCTAAGAAAAACATGTTAAAGCAATTCAACAAAAACTAGCAAAGGCCCTTCAACTGGCTGCCGTGGACGAACAGGAAAGGCCAGGCTTTAACGCAGCTGAACCAAAGGATGAGTAAAGCCAAGAGGCTAGTCTTGAGTCCGCCTCTTCCTATTCCTTCTCATTCAGTTTAGAAGAGATTCGATAGTTTTCTGGTCCAGACAGAAACTGGAGTTTCTTTCACACATCCTGCCATGTGGCACCTTCAGTCAATATCTGAACCCCTCTGTAAATGAAAATCACCACCATGTACCCTTTTGTATATGAAATGTATAAAGCATATCGTAAGTACTTAATAAATATTTTATTAAAGTAACATTAAAAACTTCTAGAATATCATCACCACTTCTTCAAATACAAATGACAGAAGCTGAGAAAAACTATTCTGATCCACGATTAACAGGGCAAATTAAGTTAAGAATTGAGTGAATATCCATTGGCAGGCCTTTTATATCTGAGTATTTACATTTACTCAACAAATGCTACTTGTGGACTCTTAACATTAAGTACAGTTCAAAGGAAGGTTATCAATGTAAGTATTAAAAAAAAATAATTTCCAGCAACTAGCTTAGCAGTCCTTACTTCAATTTTATAAACAGCTAAAAATTGATGAAGATTTAACAATATTACTTTATTACCTCATCTGATTCAAAATCGACCCCTTTACCTATTTGGCTCTGGGACATGCGCTTGCTTGATGATGATGTGCTCGACCACCTGAGGCAGAAACATGGAAAAAAACAAAGAAAACGAACCAGAGAATTCATAAGCCGTTTTAAGCTAAATTTTTCATTCTAGTAGCAGCCATGAATAAAAATAGCTAATACCTTCCCTTCAACCTATGTTAGAGACAGTAAAAACTTAATGGTGAGGAAAAGGACTCTGGGGCCAGGGTCTGAATTCCAGCTTTGTCTTTACTGGCTATGTGGCTTCAGGCAAGTTACTTAGCCTCTCTGCCTCAATTTCCTCATCCATAAAATGAGGATAATAATAATGTTTTAGAGATTTACTGTGTTAATATACGAGATCAGTGCCTGACATATATTCAGTACTACACTGATCCTTGCTTATTATTATAGTGCTTAGCATATATTAACATGCATCTATCATCCCCCACTCCTGAAAACTGTTAACATTGAAATATTTGTATTTAAGTACCAGTTATGTTTCTGTAACAAGATAAAGAGATTTCAGGGCAGGCTCACCGCTTTCTAGGGTTACCTCACTGTTCGTATTATTCGTGTTCAATCCAAATCAAATAGCAAATATATACTGAGTGCTTGCTCTTTTCCAGGTACTCTGATAGGCCCTGCGAAACATCAGCGAAAGATCATGATTCCCATCCTTATGAAGCTTATTAACTTGTGGTAATGGAACTCGTATTCGTATGTCTTTTTATCAGTAGGAATTCTAAATCCTCTTAGATCAGGCCACTGCAGCCTATCCAGCCGGTCTGGTTTTTTACTGCCTATGAACTAAGAATGGTTTTCCCACTTTGAAATGGGGTACATTTAAATGGTTATACAAATACCTACATGATATCCTCAACTTTGCCTCTTGGTCTGCAAAGCCTAAAATATTTACTATCTGGCCCTTTAAGAAAGTTTGCTGACTCCTGTCTTAAATGAAAGCAGCATTTGTAAATTCTTAGCTAATAATTTATTACCATGCTTTGGGATGTTATAGCGAAAGAAGTATGTCTGAAGGTCTTGTCTGGACAAGTAGGTTGAGAATCAAGAGGTCATGTGTCAGAAGGAAAGAAAAAAACCACAGGTTCATCTACATAAAAGTAAAGGACAGGAGGATCTATCAGGCAAGCGTGATGGGCAACAAGGCTTTAGAAGTAGAGATCAAGGAAATTGATCAAGTGATCCATCTGGGGCGTGCCCATCTCTCTATACTTGACCTAAGCAGGAACTGGTCAGTTGTTGACTTGTTTCTATCTGTGACAGGAAGCAGCAGATCATTAAGAGCATAGAGCCACAGTGCCAAGGTGGCAAAGTTAAGTGAATGTGTTCTTCTTGGGGGTTGGGCAAAGGGGGGGGTTTACGGAAGGAAACACCCACTGAGACCTGACTCTGCTTCTGATGACTCCCCAAATAACCAATAGGACCCAGAAACAAGCCAGTCATCTATGATGGACAGTGGCTCATCTGATCATAGCAAGAGTCCTACGTTCTACATCAGGAAACCCCACAGACCTACAGATCTCATCTGCAAAGGATCCCCTATCCTTAGAAATCAACAGTGGGGAGGGAAAGAAATTCTGATTTGCTGGGTCGAACAAATGGGCCTTGTCCTGGATATGAGAAAGGGTTTGATTAGGTTCATGTGGATGGCTAAAATAAACAGGGTGTGTCAAACTGAGCGCCAAGGGCTGTAAGTTTTCTACCTTTTTGTTCAGATATCATTTGGGGTCATAAATTAGAGGTCCCGTCTAGAGATGTTCAGCCAAGAAGTCCAAGAGATGTAGCAGTGTTCTAAGCACAAGGTAACATGTTAAATTGGCTTTATATTGTATCTGGCACATAACAGGTGCCGCAAAAATGTGAGCTCCCCACCACTCCAAGGTTGAACAGAATCCTCTCAATCTCCGCTCCCCCTGCCCCACCCCCCATGGGGCTGGGTCTTCGGTTTATCTGCCACCTCTATAAAACCTAAAGGGTCCTCTTATTCCCAGTGCAAGGACAAAGTTTGGACAACTTTTCCAGGGAAAATAGGCTTTCTGTTACCTGTCTGGCAGAAGGGAGTTTTACAACTGGAAGTTACTTCCTTTTTCACGTTAACTGCTGGGCATATTAATACTTTTATTGCTTACCATTCTTCCTATTATTCTTGCTCCATTTTCCCTAGCCTGTTATTTAATTTATTTAATAAACACAGAGCTGTTACTGTGTGTCAGGCACTGTACTTAGCACTTTATAAATATTAACCCACTTAAATCTCATAACCCTATGGGGTAAATATTATTATATTCTTTTTACAAAACGAGGATACCAAGGCAGAGAGAAGTAAAAAAACTTGTATAAGGACCATACCTAGTAAGTTGCAGAGCTTAAGTACTGTAAATAATCAAAATAACCATACAAACCATGCCATTAGTAAGTAATTCTTCAAAACCCGCCTAAATTGTGTCATTCAGTTGCTGTCATCAGAAACTACAAATCTACGGTGGCTGATTTCAGATCTGCTGCCAAAATGTTAATTTCTAAATTGCCTTTCATCATTTAAATGATGATGCAGGTGATGCATGATGCAATTCTAAATTGCCTGCACAATGGTTTGAGAGGTGAATCTATTATGCTAACAAGCAACAGCAGAGACAGGTCTGGAGCAGAATGCCTGGATGTGTGACTAGCTGGGTCACTGTAGGTAAGTCACTTCACCTACTTGCTTCCAAGTGCCTCACTTTCTTCCAAGGGAAAAATGAGGATAACATAGTTACAGCTTCATCTCCCTCCTGGGGTGCATGTGAATACCCCACAAGCTAATTCACATGTAAAGGCTCAGAAGAATAAACAACTCAGTTATTTTTATTACCTCACGAGTAAGTAAGAAAGCAACATTTTATTCTACTGAAAAGCAGACAACCCCAAATGGTAACAAAATCAAGATATTTTTCTTTAATACCCTTAAAATATATGTCAAACATACTAAAATAGTATTTTCATTAGTTCCAATAATGAAAAATAAGGACCTCATGCAAGCTAAAGTTCTATATTCCTCTCAACTACTGATGCACAACTGGGGGAAAAAAAACCTCAGAAAGCTACACCTGTTCTTGTTTGTGTGTGTTTTTACTCACAAAGACAAAAATGACCCAACAAGTACGAAAGGGACTCTCTTCCTTCAATGGACATATTCTGATATTCTTTCAATAAATCTTCTTTTCCCTAAGCAAATGTGAGTTAGGTTTCTATTGGACCAAAGAACCAAAGGAGGCCGGATTAATATAGGACTCAAGTGTAAGACAGTAACTCAAGACTGAGAAATTCTATCCCAATTATCCTCAACTATGGACCACAAAAACACAATCTGACTCGCATCTGAGCCTGTCTTGGTATTCTGCGCTCCTAGTTTTACCAAGGCAGGCACTGGCTTTGGTAACTCTATACTCTTCTGGGTCTTTCTCACTGCTTCTACTTTTCCTAAATTCTAAAGGTTAAAACCCAGGTACTGGAACACAAGCCCTCTTTTCTCTCTACCTTCTCTTTTAAGGTGATCAGTCCATTCCAATGATTCAAGTTAAGTTTCTGTGTATCAGTTATATGTTGTTGAGAAGTAAATTTAGGTGTCATTCAAACCTCTTTATCTGAACTCTGAACTCATATATCCAATTGCCTACAACCACCCCCCCCATATAAATTTCACAGGCATTTCAAACTTTCCACGTCTAAAGCAGAACTTTTGATTATCTGCCTATCATCCTTTATAAAAATCTGTTTCTCTTCTTTTATGTCTTTCTCAGTGTATGGCACCAAGTGTTCAAGTAGGAAACCTGGAAATCAACCATGATACCTCGTTCTCCCTCACTCCAAATATTCAATACATCCCCGACTTCTGCCATGTCTACCTCCCAATATACCCCGAAACCGCCTATTCTCTCCCTTTCCCCTGCTACTGCTCTGGTGCAAGCCTCTGTCATCTTTTGGGGACTACCCACAGCACGCTCCTTTCAGGTTAGCCTACTTCTACCCTGCCTCCTGTACCACAGGGATCCTTTATAAACTTAAATCAGATGGTGCCACTACTCTCAAAAGCCTTCCATGATTTCCCTGCATTTATAATAAAGTCCAAATACCTTACCCTGCTCAACTCTTCCTGCTTCATGATGTACTCCTGCCTTTCCTATTCGTATCTCAAATCCCTTCTTTTCCATGTTTTAGTTACTGGCTCCTAAACTACAGTAAACCTGTTTCTTTTTCAAGAGGCAAAGGATCTGTACTCAGAAAACTACAGAACACTTATGAAAGAAACTGAGGAAGACCCAAATAAATGGAAAAACATCCCATGCTCATGGATTGGAAGAACAAATATTGTTAAAATATCTATGCGACCCAGAGCAATCTATACATTTAATACAATCCCTACCAAAATACCATCAATTTTTTTCCACAGAACTGGAAACAAATAATCCTAAAATTTGTATGGAACTAGAAAAGACCCCAAAATAGCCAGGGGAATGTTGAAAAAGAAAACCCAAACTGGTAGTATCATAATTCTGGGCTTCAAGCTCTACTACAAAGCTGTAATCATCAAGACAGTCTGGTACTGGCACAAAAACAGACACATAGATCAATGGAACAGAACAGAGAACCCAGAAATGGACCCTCAACTCTATGGTCAAGTAATCTTCGATAAAGCAGGAAAGAATATCCAATGGAAAAAAGACAAATGGTGTTGGGAAAATTGGACAGTCACATGCAGAATGAAACTGGACCACTTTCTTACACCATACAGAAAAATAAACTCAAAATGGATGAAAGACCTCAATGTGAGGCAGGAATCCATCAAAATACTAGAGGAGAACAGAGGCAGCAACCTCTGTGACCTCGGCCGCAGCAACTTCTTGCTAGACTTCTTGTCTCCAGAGGCAAGGGAAACCAATGCAAAAATGAACTATTGGGACTTCATCAGCATAAAAAGCTTTTGCACAGCAAAGGAAACAGTCAACAAAACCAAAAGACAACCTACAGAAAGGGAGACGATATTTGTAAATGACTTATGAGATAAAGGGCTAGTATCCAAAACCTATAAAGAACTTATCACTCAACCCCCCAAAAAACAAAAAATCCAGTCAAGAAATGGGCAGAAGACGTGAACAGACATTTCTCCAAAGAAGACATACAAATAGCCAATAGACACATGAAAAAATGCTCAGCATCACTCAGCATCAGGGAAATACAAGTCAAAACCACAATGAGATACCACCTCACACGGGTCAGAATCGCTAAAATTAACTCGTCAGGAAATGACATATGTTGGCGGGGATGTGGAGAAAGGGGAACCCTCCTACACTCTTGGGAATGCAAACTGGTGTGCAGCCACTCTGGAAAACAGTATGGAGTTTCCTCAAGAAATTAAAAACAGAGCTACGCTATAACCCAGCAATTGCACTACTAGGTATTTACAAATATATATATATTTACAAAGATACAAATATAGTGATCTGAAGGGGCACCTGCACCCCAATGTTTACGGCAGCAATGTCCACACTAGCCAAACTATGGAAAGAGCCCAGATGTCCATCGACAGATGAATGGACAAAGAAGAGGTGGTATATATGTATACCACCTATATAGAGAGTAGTATATGGAATACTACGGCCATCAAAAAAAAAAAATGAAATCTTGCCATTTGCAACGACGTGGATGGAACTAGAGGATATTATGCTAAGTGAAATAGTCAATCAGAGAAAGATGATTATCATATGATCTCACCCATGTGGAATTTAAGAAACAAAACAAAGGATCACAGGGGAAGAGAGGAAAAAATAAAACAAGATGACATCAGAGAGGGAGACAAACCATAAGAGACTCTTAATCACAGGAAACAAACTGAGGGTTGCTGGAGGGGAAGGGGGTGGGGGGATGGGGGAACTGGGCGATGGGCATTGGGGAGGGCATGTGATGTAATGAACACTGGGTGTTACATTACGACTGATGAATCACAGACCTGTACCTCTGAAATCAATAATACATTATATGTTAATTAACTGAATTTAAATTAAAAAGAAAAAACAAACTAAAAAAAAAGAGAGAGAGACTCCATATGTGCTTTTCCCTCTGCTTTTTGTAAGGTCAAGTCTCTCAGTAAGATTTCAGCTTAAACGTGACCTCCTCAGACGCCTTCCCTGATCTCCCTTTCAAAGCAGATGTCTGTGGCCTGTGACATTACTCTTTATTGCTGCACCCTGGTAATTTTGTAGGGGCCAATGGCAGGCCACCCCAACATGGGTTACTTTGGCATGAAGATTATTTTGAGTTAAAAAGCAATCAAAACTCAGCAGATTCAGGAAAAGTTCTTTACCTTCCCCTCAAATGCCTAAAAAGGATTTAGATACTGGACCTGTTCCAGGAAGAGAGCTATCACCATAGATAGGTAACTACATTATGGTATGAACTAGGTATAGTAGATAGGGAGGAACCCAGCAAGGCCTGTTTGATCCAAGTCCTCTCTGTCCTACTGATTCGGAGTGGCGCAGCAAACATTTGTTTACCAAGCATTTACTCTCTTTTATCTTCCTGTGAATTGCTTTCTTTCCAGTCGATGTCCAAGACCCCTACCCCCTTTCTTAGTTCAGAAGGACATATATACCTCATTTTGTCCGTCTTTGGAATTTCCATGTTTGTGTGGATTCCCCCTATGGATGAAATTAACTTTGATTTCCTCCTCTTAATCTGTCTCATGTCAATTTGGTTCTTAGCCTAGCTAGAAAGATCTTGAAGGGCAGAAGAAATTCTTCCTCCCTGACAAATTATTTTAAATAGTCTTACACACCTGTTGATCATCAGCCCAAACATTAGCTACCTTCTTTGTGAAGTCTTCAGTGACCTATTCTAGAAGACAGTGTCACTTCCCTTAGATTTCATTACTTGAGTAAAACATTTATCTTGTTGGATTATTAGTGCCTTGTAATTAGCATACTGTTAAAGTGGAAATTCCTCGAAGGAAGGAGACATTTCTTCCATTATTTCTACCCCCAGCTCCTAGCATAACATGTAACTGAACAAATAGGTGGCTGTGTAACTACACATACCAATTTTCCTAACAGAGACCCTTAATTCACAAAAAGCATATATTCTTAGTGGGGTCATTATCACACACGAGGAACAAAAACTGGTTCTAGGAGATGGAGTAGGTGAAAAATCTGAGATACTACAATGGTTTTGGCCTTTCCCAAGCTCAATCCTACCCAGCAAAATTTCATTCTTTAGCATTTAATTTCTCTTATTTTAATTAATTTAAATCAAATTTAATTTTTATCCTTAGGTAATGAAAACAAGGTTGAGATCATGAAAACAAGGGTGAGAAACACTGAGGGAGGGTTTTTTCTCATTCTCCCCCTTATTGCTAACAGCTCCTGCTTAGGCCATTACTCTTGGCTGTCTTTCTCCACCTCTCTGCTCCAGATGATTCCTATCTCAAAACCTCAGCTAAATGTTACTCCCTCTAGAATCCTTTCTCTTCTTCCATAGCCCATAATTCTTGCTCCGTTTTCTAAGCGCCTATGAGCACTCACACCAAGTCTGTATCATAAAATTTCACACATAATTATGTACTGACTCATCATCCTTTAATGGATTGAAATGTGTTCATCTCTCTTTTCTACTATAACTTATGTTGCCTAAAGGCAGTAACCATGTTAAAACATTTATTCTGTCCCCCATCAGACCTTATATAATGCTCACACAGAAAATCAGAGTTAAAACAAGCTCTTGATTATTTTCTTAAGTAGAAATTTTTTTTTTTTTTTAAAGAAAAGAGTGGAATTTAATCTTTATTTACAGGACACTGCAAGATTAAGTAGAAATTTTCATCAACTGAGCTTCAGTTAAGCAGTGTCCACCTAAAATACCAACACAGAAATGCTAACAGTGCATCAAGCCAAGCTTTACAGTAACAGCAAAAATGGCAAAAACCAAAAGGGGCAGGAAAAAGCATATGAGTGCTCCAAAGGCAGGAAAAGCCAATGTGATCCTGTCTTTAGTGTTCAGCACAGCACCCTGTGTAACTCAGTATGTAAAAATGTGATAATGAAGAAGAGAAGCTGAAATCAAATATTAAAAAAAATACAAAACTATTTTCTGTTAGAGAGAACACAGAACTCCATCAGGAAAATTCTTGAGTAATAAAGGCAAAAGGAAATAAATTACAGGTTAAGTTTCATTGAAAAACACCTGCAGTAATGCGGTATCACCTCTATGAACTAGCCCTTGCTCTATTTTTCACTTCTCTATTTACTTGACCAGTTGAAACTAAATCTATTAAACTTCTATGGCACAGAAAAACATATAGGTAGAATTCTGGATAATTTTAAATTTTTTCAGATGTTTCTTCTTGCAGAAAATCACTGCACCTACCTCTGTTCTGTTTTTGAAGTGGTGGGAAAAATGTCTTCTTCCATATTTGACTCATCCACCTCAACCACCTAAGGGAAAAACAAAACAGGGAAGAGTTTTTTATGGGAATGGAGTTTATCTGAATAAAAATAAAAAGTTGAATTTCAAAAAAAAATTTTCAAATATAAAAAAAAAAAGTCAGAAAAAAGGGGGCAGAAACCAATTGTTAAAACTGAAGCTTTAGGCACCTGGGTGGTTCAGTGGGTTAAGCGTCTGCCTTTGGCTCAGGTCATGATCTCAGGATCCTGGGACCGAGTCCCACTGCATCAGGCTCCCTGGGACCGAGTCCCACTGCATCAGGCTCCCTGCTCAGTGGGGAGTCTGCTTCTCCTTCTCCCTCTGCCCCTCTCTCCCTCCCTTCTGCTCACGCATACTCTCTGTCTCAAATAAATACATATAATCTTAAAAAACAAACAAACAAAAAACAAAACCTGAAGCTTAGCCTGACTTCCCTCCAATGCCACTCTTCAATCACAAAGGGTATTCTATACATGTCTGAGCTCACTTTTCTCCTGAACACCAGGGCAGCCAGGGTACCTAGAGAAATATGCAGTTAGACGGGTGAATGACTCACACAACATCATGTGCAGACAGTGCCTGTGGACCTCTTGGGTTTTAGTGAGGAGTCAGACCATTAGTGTTCCATTTCCAGTTTAAAATTAGGTATAAAACCATGTGGGAAGTACTGGATATCTATCTTTCTATTATATTTATCCCCGTTAAACATCATTTGTTAGTTTTAGGTCCCAGTAGAGATATTTGTGATTCTTTTTTTTTTTTTTAAGATTTTATTTATTTATTTGTCAGAGAGAGAGAGAGCACAGCAGGGGGAGTAGCAGGCAGAGGGAGAAGCACGCTCCCCGTTGAGCAGAGAGCCTGGGATCATGACCTGAGCCTAAGGCAGATGCTTAACCAAATGAGCCACCCAGGAGCCCTGAGATATTTGTTATTCTTGGTTCTATCATCCAAAATACTACTTATCTCTCTACGTTTTGTGTTATCTTGACACTTAATACACACATTTGCTATGTCTTCAACTAGCGAATGAAGCCAAGGACAAAAGAGTGAAAAAAACAGCACCTGAGATCTCCCCCTCCAGGCTGACATTGAACTACTAATAAAAAATTGTTAAATGTAGTTGTCCAAGAAACTATGAACCCAGCTATTATTTCTGCATTTTGTCATAAAACTATCAGAAGACCGTCTTATGTACCTTGAAAGAATCAAATGTATTCAACACTCCTCCAATCTACCACTGTGTAACCACAATCAAAGAATGAAAAAAAAAAAAGCTAGTTTAGCACAACTTGTTCCTTTTGAACTCATCTTCCTGCCTTACAAGAGAAAAATCTAGAAAAGACACTACCTTGTGGATGTGCTAATTTTGCTTTTAGATGATCCGCAAGTGACAGCAGGCAATAGTTGAATGCAAATAATAAAATGGAGCTCAGGATAAAAGTTATTAGCACTGGCACCCACATACCAGCAACAACAGGAAGTGGGGGGAGATGAAGTTAAGGGAGATAAAAGGACAAAATGAGAATCAGAGCAGAGAAATTTCCTGGAAAAGGGTCAATTGTGTCACATATTCAAGAGACGAAGTATGAAATTGGAAAAAACGCTGGTGGGGCAGGTCTGATATAGAACACGGATTCTCAACTGGAGGTGATAATAACTACTATTCTGGAAACTTATGGACATGTCTGGAGACATTTCTGATTGTCATAATTAGGGGGGCTGCTACTGGCATTTAGAGGGTAGGGGATAAGATGTTGCTAAAACCCTACAATGCAGACAACAGTCCCTCCCAGTAAGACTTACCTGGTCCAAGACTTACCTGGTCAACAGTGCTGCTACTGACAACCAAGACTTATCTGGTCAACAGTGCTGCTACTGAGAAACCCTGACACAGAATCAAGAGCACTGCCTTAGGCGTAAAGACATGTGGGTCTTGAAAGTAAGATAATACGAGCATCAAGCCCATATAAAATCTTGGAATCCAAAGGAAGTACAGAGGGCCTATGTTGAATCTAGAGCTTAAAACAGAGGTCCTTACATTCTGGCTGCTTAGTTTGTCTTGAGTCTAGCTTCAGCCATCAGCGAACAAGCCACAGTATTATGAGAGGGTAAGTAACAAAAGGAAACCAGATTTAAGTAAGACTTCTATACGTACTGAACTCCAATCTTCAATATTAATATTCCATGCATGGACCTTTTTGGCTCAACATTGTTATCCTTGAAAATATTACTGTAAACATTCATTTATGGATTTCTAATCATGAGATACAGTATTTAAAGAAAACAAAAATCCTAGAAGCCCTCAGTCTGGATAATCCATAAAATTCTCTCCAGCTTTAATGCTTCCCACTTTTTCCTTCTTTTATTTACTTTGTAGATTAAAGAATTGACAATTCATAATGCAGGGAATAGAAATTAGTAACACACAACTATAAAACTTTTTATCTTACCTCTGAATAATTCTTAGCAGCAACATTTCGGGACGGCTGCTGTCTTACAGATTTAAAGGCTATAATGTGAAAGAATAAACATCCATTATGTTACTCTTAAAATAACAGAAAAATTTGTACATATTGTTAGCTAAAGATCTTGTAAGCTCTATCTGCAAAAATCCATGATGGCCAATTATAAAACATTTATATTTTTTAACATCTAAAGGGAGGTGGAAATATATGTTCAAATAAATCAATGCCCAGCTGCCAGTCTCCTGATTTCTTGGCTTATTCAAATATAATAACAGGTAACGCTCATAAATACACCTACACTAAAAATATTTTATACAAACTACATGAAGGATAAAATCTGACCATCTAATGGATTAAACTCCAAATATATTCTTCTTGCCCTTACAGTTGGAAGTACCATTCCCTGTGGCTATATTAGGAACCCTGTGGTTCCAGGAAGAGCTTTCTTATTCTCTTCTACTTTGTTAGCCATATCAAAGGAAGAGTCCAGGGGGAATCCTAGAAAACAGTGTATCTTTTATGCTATGATAACACTTCCTTTAAATCCTTACATTTTAGCTTTAAAAACTTAGAAACAGGGGCGCCTGGGTGGCTCAGCGGTTAAGCATCTGCCTTTGGCTCAGGTCATGATCCCAGGATCCTGGGATCAAGCCCCGCATCGGGCTCCCCACTCGGCAAGAGGCTTGCTTCTGCCTCTCCCTCTCCCCCTGCTTGTGTTCCCTCTCTCGCTGTGTCTGTCAAATAAATAAATAAAATCTTAAAATAAAACAAAACAAAAAAAACTTAGAAACATGAAGTTTAGCTAACCCTTTATTTTCTCCCATGTTAAAACAATGATACTGTGATCTTATAATAAGAAATATGTGTTTGGTCTTGGTCCCCATTTCTGGCAGAGCTCCTAAAACCCCAGGAAATTCCTAAGTACTAAGAGCCAGGAAAGTGACTTTTCTTAGGTTAATGGAGTGACTTTTGGACCAAACCTAAAACTGGGGGCTGGTTGCCAGAGGAACCAACCAGGAAATCCGGAAATGAAGGTTGGAACTGTCTCATCCCATGATTTCCATGGAGACAGGAGGTTGAATCAATCGCCAATAGCCAAAGATTCAATCAATTAATGGTAATGAAGCTGCACAGAAACCCAAAGGAAGGGTTTGGTGAGCTTAGAGGTGGTGAACCAGACTGCTTCCATACGCCAGGGTGCTGGCCCCCAAACTCTCTGAGGATACAATTTCTTTGTCTGCGACCTAGCTTTTGTTATCTCTTCACTGGCTGCTGATTTGTATCCTTTGTAATAAACCAATAAATTTAGTGAATAAACTAGTTTCCTGAGTTCTGTGAGCCACCCCAGGAAATTAATTAAACCCGAAGAGGGAATTAGGGGAAACTGATTGATAGCCAGTCAGTCAGAAGCACAGCTAGATTTGTGATGAGCCTCTGAAGTGGAAGGAGGCAATCTTGTGGAACTCAGCCCTTAACCCTGTGGAATCTAATGCTACCTCTGGATAGACAGTGTCAGAATTGAGTCGAATTGTAGGAAACCCAGCTGGTGTAGAAGAATTGCTTAGTGGGGTGAAGTAACTCCCCACTCCCCCCCATACTGAATTCGGCATAGAATATTTAAAACCTAGAATAAATTTCAAACTGCCAATTAAGAGTTTTATTTTCTCTTAAGCCTTACCAGTTTCTTAATATAAAACAATGTTTTCCCCCAAGACAACCCCCAAACTGAACAGGGCAAGAGGAGAAAAAAAAGACAGAGGCCTTGAAAAAGTCAAAAGCTCAAAGAAACCCACAAAGTCCAAAATTCTTGTAGTCTGGAAACTAAGGAATTGTTCTATCTAGCCTAAATTTATGATTTGTTCATTTTTCCTATTCCAGGTCTATCCCCAGTCTTGTGATGTCTGAGAGGAGAGATTAAGGGCAGAAGCAAAGTTCTTATCCACTCTACTCAATTACTAGGGCCTCACATCCTAACTCTACTCAAAAGGCTAAACAGGGCAACTGAATAAAAAAATCAGCCATCATGACTCTTAAAGAATATGCCCAATAATTATTCACTAATTGACTCCTCAAACTCTCACATCCTGAAGAGCCCTCCTAAAACAAACAAAAACAAACCAAACCCTCCTTTCTTTTTATCCCCAACAAATGTCAGTGAGAGAAATTAACTTTATCAGAAAAACAAGCACTGAGGTCTGTTAGGAAGGCAATACAGTATGGTGGTTGTAGAGTTAAACTCATTTTGACTGATTAGCTGGGTGACCAGAGCCAAGCTCCTTGGCTTCGTTAAGTCTCAATTTCCCTACCTATAAAATGATGTGGGAAACAAAGGCAAAAGAAAAATTATTAAGTTTCCTTACTACCTACAGCCCACTGACAAGTCCTTGAAACAGGCAGAGTGACATTCCTCTAGGGACTCAACTGCCTTGAAGTTGATACTTTGCTAAGGGCAAAGGGCAATCTTAGCCCAACCCCAGGATCCTGTAAGTCCACTTTAACATATAAAAAAAATTCCTTTGAAAACTTCCTTTATCTCTAACCCCCAAGATACATGTTGGCAATCATCCCCTAAGTATATGAACCACCGATATACATCTGAAGGGTCTCATGATGGACTTTTTACTAAACAGTAATAAATGACTTTTCCTAACAATAGCTAGCCCCCTCAGGATCCTGGAAACCTTGTTTCCAAAATACCTGGGAGGCTTACACTAGCCTCAACCCCCTCCCAACTTGAAAGTATATAACGGGCTGCTCCTCATGACCCCCCGTGCAGCTCTTTCTGCCCACGGGTCCTGTTCCTGTGCTTTAATAAAACCATCTTTTTGCATCAAAGACGTCTCAAGAATTCTTTCTTGGCCATCGGCTTCGAACCCTAACGTCTTTCCTACATCACAAAATAATGTTAATAATTCATGCAGAAAATCGCTGAAAAGATAAAAAGAGGTGGTTAATGGAAATAATTCTGCCAAGTGCCTAGGAAGTAGCAGGTATTCAAATAATGCAGCTAGCAGCAGTAGCCGTAGATGTGGCAGTGGCCACCATGATGGTAAACCACACACAATCACAGAGCCTTCAGAGGGACTATTCACTTACTCACCACCCTCTGCAGACAAACTTCAAGGGAAAAATTTGGGCTGTCAACTATTATTTACAATTGCTGCTGGCTGGAAGTGTAATATCTATCGTTTCCAACAAAATTCCAGTACATTAATAAATCTCTACACTCCACAGGGCTTGATAATGGTAGAACTGTACCGTTATAGCTCTCTTCATATTTCCATTTCCAATAGGGGTTTGGAAGTTTCAGTTTTAAAGGTGCTTTTGTCCCAACGTTACAGTAGCTATAGTTATTTATAATAACCCATGGTTATTTTGTCAAAGACTTAACACCAAATCTAACCTAATAAAAATGTTTTTCATGTATGTGTTAAAAAGTCTATTTCACTTTTCAAAAAAGCCCCAATGTTAGAGATAGTTCAGTTGTAAACCATTTGACCAAATGAATTTACATAAAAGACAAATTTAGACAAATATTTATAAAACATCCATTTTCTTAAGTTTATCTTAAACACTGCCACTAATAGCAGCAATCATTTTTTTGGATTCTTACTAAATCCTGTGCTAAGTAATGTATATCCATAAGTTCAATGATACTTGTAACTACTCTGTGGAGTCAGTACTACACTGCCAATTTTATAGCTAAGGATCTGAAGCTTATAGAATAGAAACAGTTTACACTTACTGGGGGCTTAATATGTGTATATACTATGCCAAATAGTCCACATGTATCGTCTCATCAATCCTCAAAATAACCCAATGAGATAAATGCAATCGTCAGCCCACTTACAGATGAGGACACTGAAGATGGAAAGCCCAAAAGGACAAAGAACTAGTAAATCAAGGAGTCAGAATTCAAACCAATGGCTGACTTTATTTTTTTTTTTTAAGATTTCATTTATTTATTTATTTATTTGAGAGCGAGAATGAGAGAGAAAGAGCATGAGAGGGGGGAGGGTCAAAGGGAGAAGCAGACTCTCTGCCAAGCAGGGAGCCCGATGCGGGACTTGATCCCGGGACTCCAGGATCATGACCTGAGCCGAAGGCAGTCGCTTAACCAACTGAGCCACCCAGGCGCCCAATGGCTGACTTTAGAACCACGCTTTTAACCTTTATGCTATCCAATCTCTAAGTAACTTTTATTCAGCCATTCTCAAGTATTTAATAAGCATCTACTACAACCAGGCACTACGGACACCCTGATGAAATGATGAAAAAGAATGACTCCACCCTTGTTCTGCTGGTGCCTGCAGTGTGAGGGCGTGAAACCAGCCAGTGAAGAGCTGGCGGGCCATACAGGTCTGATTCCAAAGCCCAGGTCTTAACCACACCATCTGCTGCAAAAGGCGCCACAATTAGATTTTTTCCTACACATAATTCAGGAAATCCTAAATTTCATATTAATTTGGCTCACTTTTTACAAATGAATATTACTTGTAAAAAAAAGGGTTATTTGCGAACATTTTAAAGCACTGTAACTGCTCTCTTGTCTTCTCTATACAAACAGAAGCTTTATTCCACATTCTCAATGGGTAACAGAAGAGGACTCATGAAAGAATGTCTGTGAAAAGCCTCACAGGCATAGCAGTTCTGAAAGGAGCTGAGGGCAGAAAGTGGAAAAAAAAAATGCTCACAAAAAACCCTATGAGATAAAAAGTTCTAGATGCAAAGGAGGCAGCCACATGTGAGTTTTAAAGAAAGAAAATAAAGATAAAAACCTCTGTATTTGTTTACTATGGTCTAGGTTTTCAGGTAAACACTGCTGCTCAAAGCAACCCAAATTGCTTCATCAAACATATAAAAAAAAATTCTAGCGGCACTGAGTTGCTGATCACATAAAGAATTAATAGGCCAAAACAGAAGAAAAGCTCAAACTGAGAGAGGCAAGCAGAATCCTTTTCCCTGGGGACCTGTTAGCTGAACAAATGTTCACACTGGTTTTGACAGTTCTGTAGAGAGAGGGAAAGAGCTACCACAGGTCAAGGCCTGCTCAAGGTAGGGGGCCTGATGCATTTCCTCCCTACCTTAAGCTGGGACCCCAGTGGTTAAGGAGAGAAGCAGATGTAAACAGGATTTTGCAAGTACATTATCAGCTGGTCGAACCTCAAGTCACAAGTTTAAATGTAGTTTAATGTGGCCTAACACTTGTGGCGCCCCTAGAAGCCTGGAGAAACAAATACGAATCAACTCTGGGGCAACTTAACTTCAATCCTAACCTCAAATTATTCCTGCTGATCATTTCTTAGGGACAACAGATAATGAAACATGCAAGGAAACAAGTCACCGTAAATGAGAACCAACAGAAACAGAAATCAGAAATGGACAATAAAAAGAGGCCAAAGACAGTCAGACATTGGGTCATTAGACAAAGACTAAAAGAACAAATACCCTTACTAGGCACACACAAAATTACAGAGAGGCTTAAAAACATCTGCAGGGAATTTTTAAAATCACACAGTATATTTCAAAAGACCTAAGTGGAATTTCTACCCCCACCAAAAACAATGAAAATAAAAAATTCAAAGGACAGTTTTAAGAACAGATGGGCATGGGAGCCTGCTTGGCTCAGTCCATAGAAAAAGCGACGTCTGATCTTGGGGTCATAGGTTTGAACCGCATGTTGGGGTTAGAGTTTACTTAAAAAAAAACCAAAACAACAGATGGGTGAATTAGAAGATCAATATAACACAGGAAGATAAAACAAGGGAAAATACAAGAGATTAGTAGTCCCGGGAGGACAGAGTAAATCTTACATTTAAATAACTGAAGACTCTGAAGGGAGGAGAAAAAGAGCACAGAGGTATTATCTAAAGGGAAAGGATTTTCTTTTTTCTTTTTTTTTTTAAGATTTTATTTATTTGACAGAGAGAGACAGCAAGAGAGGGAACACAAGCAGGGGGAGCAGGAGAGGGAGAAGCAGGCTTCCCGCTGAGCAGGGAGCCCCATGCGGGGCTCAATCCCAGGACCCTGGAATCATGACCTGAGCCGAAGGCAGACGCTTAACGACTGAGCCACCCAGGCGCCCCAAGGGAAACGATTTTCTAGGAGCAATGAAAGATACCAATTCACAGTTTCATGAAGCCCAATAAATCCTAAGCAGAATAAAAAAGAATCTCATATCTAAATTCATCACTGAAACTGCAGAACATCAAAGACAGCCAGCTGGAGGAAAAATAGACTACTTCAAAAAAAAAAAAAAGGAAAAAAAAAAAGCAAGCTTAACTAATAGCTCACTTCTCAACAACAAAATGGAAGCCCAAAGACTCACTTTAAGTGATTAATTCTGCCCATTTGTGGCAAGGAAAGCTTCATATAAAATAGATAAGCCAGGACGAAAAAAGGTAGTTTGGGTTAAGGTAAAGGTGGGTATGCCTTTGTGTCACATGCTAACCAACTTCTGGTGACTTAACCTGGAAGTGTACATATTTTTTTCACTTTGCTTTTCTATCTCCCTCTGTTTTTTTTCTTTTTCTTTTTTTTATAACGAACATTTTGTAAAGGCCTACTACGTGCCAGACTCTGCCTCTCATCTCCAGAACAACCCACTATGTAGAGTCTATTATGGAAACAAACTAAGGAGTCTAAGTGACTTGTTAAAAGTCACTAGGCGTTTTTACCATGTTGAACTCTGCCTAGATCCTTTCTATGGTGCCTACTTTTCCCCTTCTCTGCTTTTATCTTACTCCTGCCAAGAATGGAAGAGCACCTTTTTGGACGCCATTTCCTAAAAGACGACATGCTTTTGAAGTCAAGATAAGAACCTTAGCTGGCTCTCCTCAAGTACTAAATAACCAGAGTAAAAATACAGCAACAGAACTTTTCAAAAATTATTATTATTTTTTCAAGTAGGCTCCATGCCCAACATGGGGCTTGAACTCACAACCCCGACAGATCAAGACTTGAGCTGAGATCAAGAGCCAGACACTTAACCGGCTGAGCCACTCAGGTGCCCCCAGAACTCTTGATAAGAAGTTTCTTTAAGGGGCGCCTGGGTGGCTTAGTCAGTTAAGTGTCTACCTTTGGCTCAGGTCATGATCCCAGGGTTCTGGGATCGAGCCTCACATCGAGCTCCCTGCTCGGCAGGAAGCCTGCTTCTCCCTCTGCCACTCCCCCTGCTTGTGATCTCTCTCTCTCTCTCTCAAATAAGTATTTTTTAAAAATTAATTATTAAAAAAATTTTTTAAAAAAGTTTCTTTAAGAGTCATTTACTGGATTTACGCAACTGATAAACTGATGAACACTAAAACAACAACAACAAATAAGAGTCATTTACTGGATTTGATGTTTGTGTCCTTCCTCCAATGTCAGCTGCCATCCAATAAATGTCCAAGACTTCCTCTGATGGTGTCACAATTCACTTCCTTCTGGGGCGGTTTACTCTATCTTTACATTAATTCGATAGGTTATTCTGTATAATGCAAAGACCTCTCTACTGAGAACCAGTAGCTAGGTCTCTAATCTTATCTTGCTCTGTAAACTAGCAGTACAGTTGACCCTTGAATTCAGGGGTGAGGGGTCCTGACCCTTGCAAAGTCCAAAAATCCCCATGTAACTTCTAACTCCCCCAAAACTTAACTACTAATAGCCTATTATTTATTGGAAGCCTTACTGACAACATAAACAGCTGATTAACACTTATTTTGTATGTTGTTTATATACTGTATTCTTAGAACAAAGTAAGCTTGAGAAAAGAAAATGTTAAGAAAATCGTATTTTTCATATGGAAGGGAAAATACATTTACAGTACTAATTTATTGGAAAAAAACCCACTTATAAGTGGACCTGTGCAGTTCAAACCCATTCTGTCCAAGGATCAACCCTATAGTGGTTAACCACTGGTTCTGGAGTCTAGGGAATGTGGGATTAACCCAAGTTCTAAAATTTACTAGCTGTGAGACCATGGGTAAACCGCCTATCTTTTCAAAGCCTCAGATCCCTTTTCTGTAAAACAGGGATAACATAAGTATCTAACCCCAGAGCTTTGAGAAGCATGCAGTAACTCTTTCATAGACATTAGCTATTATGAGTATTATCTTAAATACAGATCACAGCCTTTTCTGTGCTAACCACAGAGCCGGAGAAAAGCAGCATAAGAAAGTAAATAAACACTATATTAAGAAGTGGTACTTTCTTGATCATTGTTGACATACTGACCAACTGACTCATTTTTCTGTCTTCAGGGTCTCTCTATAAATAGGAAATAATCAAATCTGTCCAGAAGTAAGGGATTATAAAAAATACTTTTCAAGGTTCACTCTTTTCAAAAGCTCTGATGAATGGAAAAGACCTTTTAAAGAATAATTTATCTTGTAATGCTAATAACCCTTTTGATGCCCCCCCCCCAACAATGGCAACACAAACCAATGAGGTTTCCTAATGAGGATTTCCTAGGTCTTCCTATGTTGGGATTTATAAATAACTGCTAGAAAAATCATTTGCAATCCATACTCACCATCTATAATAGACATGTTTCTAGGTGTTGACATAGTAGCCTTTGAACTTCTGCTTCGAGTAGAAGTCTCTAGACCAGTGCCTATTGTTAGAATAATGAGCAGTCACTATACAATTATATCAGTAGCCAAGGTTTTAAGACAATGCCAAAATGAAATGTAAATAAAGTTACATCAAAACAGTTTATGTATAAAAAGTCAAAGACATATATAACAAGAAACACATAGTCTAATCACTTTTCAAAAACTATACTTATACCACATTTGGTTCATACTCTTCCAATCAAAATTTAAGGAAACATTTTGTAAACTTAAGGATAATGAAAATAAATTATCACTAGAGGATGAGGATCTCTTTCCCTGAAAATTTTTTAACTTTTAAGTACTATTTTACCAGCTTAAAATTCCAATGGATAAATACTTAATAAAAACAATTTAAAAATATTCCTAGAAACGAAGCCATACAATGCATCAGGAAGTCACTGGATGACCAATTTTCTATTATTTGGATTATTCAATGACAATAGTCCCACGTTAAATACAATGATGGCAATTAATGTTAATGACTGCTTTAAGAAATCAAATTGTTTTAGGGTAGTATTCTTTTTGAACAAATTTTATGAAGCCACTTTATAAAAATAAAGGCATTTGTATCCTATGACAGTAACAAAAATAATGTTTATGACCTGCAGTTTCTTCCTCCTGCCAATGGTCATTAGATAGCCATTTTCCTTAGCAGCTCATATCTGCCCATTATTTTATAGGTGTGAGAGTAAATATAACATTAAATGTATCCAAAAGATACTGTGTGAGGAGCACAGTGAAGTTCTTAGAAAAAATACGTTGTTAAGAGTCATTAAAACAGGGGCGCCTCAGTGGCTCAGTTGTTAAGCGTCTGCCTTCAGCTCAGGTCATGATCCCGGGGTCCTGGGATCGAGCCCCCCCAGGGTCTCCCTGCTCCGCGGGAAGCCTGCTTCTCCCTCTCCCACTCCCCTTGCTTGTGTTCCCTCTCTCGCTGTCTCTCTCTCTCTCCCTGTCAAATAATAAATAAAAAAAAAAGTCATTAAAACATTATGTTTTAAATATGACCATTAAAATCTATTTAAGTCAACATACATGTCAGAACTATATTAAAGACTGGCTTTATGCAATACAAACACAAAATTTTAGAAGACAGCCACACTTAATTCTGACGACAGGAATACGATCCTGTGTGTCCCGTTCAGCTGCCAAGACTGAAGGTGTGTGCAAGCCGGTACTGAGTGCTAACCTCTGCCTCTCTGAGAACCCCCTCTCCAGGCTGAGTTCTGCCCTCTTCCTCCTCGGCGGCCTCTTGCTCGGCCTCCTCCTCTGCTGGCTGCTGCTGTGATGTCCTCTTCAGAGTCCTCAGCCATCTGTTCTGCCAAATCTATACTCATAAGGTCCTCAGCACTAAAGGCAGAAGCAGCGTCCTCAGACTGAGATCTGAGGGCTCTGGCCCTTGTCATAGCCTGAGAGGGAAAGAGGAGATAATACACATTAGTAGGTAATGCAGCATCCTAAATCACTGATCTGGTCATTCAGGTAACATGCACTATTGCCAAACTGTCTACACTATTATTTTTCACTAATCATGCTATAAAAATGCCAAGCAGGACAACTCCCCTCCCCTATCTGTCAAATTCAATTCCTATGATTTGTCAGATCAATCCGCCATACTACCTGTAAAATGAGACCTTTTGAAAAGCTGTGCTGAGAACGATAGAATTCCACAGAATCAAAACTTTTAGAACTGGTAGGAATATTGGCAATCGCCCCTAATTCAATATCACCATTTGTAAGAGACTGTCATCATTTGAGCTACTCTGTACAATGGGCTCTTAATACGTGACAAGAAAAATGCTTACAAAAAATGTGTGTTATCTGTGGGTGATGAAATTTTAGGGTGCTCTTTTCTTCTTTATTCACAAATAGGATAAATTTTCTACAATGTAGTTTTTCTAAAATATTACTCTAATCAGAAAATTATGAGCAATCATCTCTTAAAAAAATTAAGTAGAATTAAGAATAAAAAGATAAAAAGAGGGGCGCCTGGATAGCTCAGTTGGTTAAGGGTCCGACTCTTGATTTTGGCTCAGGTTGAGATCTCAGGGTGGTGAAATCAAGCCCTGCATCAGGCTCCGCGCTTCGTCTAGAGTCTGTTTGTCCCTGTCTTTCTGCTCCTCCCCCCACCTTGTGCTCTCAAATAAATAACTACACAAAATCTTAAAAAAAAAAAAGATAAAAAGAATTAAGTATTATATAACAATTGAAGGCCTGGGAAAGAATAAAAAGCTTAGGACCAAGAATATGCCACAAACTTTAGTCTGGTAAGAAACTGCCGAGAAAAGACAAGTTTGAGACTTAATGAAATATTTTAACTCTGAAATGAATACAGATTTTTTGATTAAAAATAAAATAAAAGCAATGTTGCCCTGAGCTCTTCCCTTAAACCAATCTAACTGTAGTAAGGAGAACAGAAATGAACATAATACATTCTCAATAAAATTAGAAAATAGCTCCAACTTCTAAACACAAAAGTTCTGAAGAGTTAATGGATATAATGAAGATCTGACCTAAGGAACAAGGTACAGAAGAGCCTTAGGCAGTAGAGAGCTCTCTAAAATTGATCTATATATCCAAAGAGACCATGACTATAGTTTCTCTTGCTTGGAATAAAAAATTCCAGGTCTAAGAATAGGTGGGTAGAAAGCATTTCTGAGCTCTCTTGGTATCATGAAGTAAAGAGAGGCAGGACTAAATGAGATGAGAACAAAGCACATAGGGTAGAAGTAGGAGTGAAGTGGGAGGTGGGAGATAATCTAGCTGTATGATGATGATCTCAGCTTAAAGGAAATAACAGCAAAATCCCAGCATGAAGGGCTCAGCACAGCATTACCATGTAAAAAGAAAAAAACTTCAGGGAACATAACAAAAAATAAAAAGAAAAAGGGTGGCTCAGTCGGTTAAGCGTCTGGCTTCAGCTCAGGTCATGATCCCAGGGGTCCTGGGATGGAGTCCCACAACGGGCTCCTTGCCCAGCAGGGAGCCTACTTCTCCCTCGGCCTGCTGCTCCCCCTGCTTGTGCTCTCTCGCGCGCGTGCTCTCTCTCTGACAATAAAATCTTTAAAAAAAAATACAAAGAAAAAATAGTGGAAAAAGATTTCAACTCATTTTTCTTGTCCCAGATGAAGTATGGTCAATCCTCTTTATTCCCAGATTCTATATTTGCAAATCACCTACTCGCCAAAATTTATCTGTAAACCCCAGAACAATATTCCTGATACTTTTGCAATCATCTACGGACCAGTGCAGAGTGGTAAAAATTCCGAGTCTCTCTCTCTCTTTTTTTTTTTAAGATTTTACTTATTTATTTGACACAGAGAGAGAGAGAGAGAGAGAGAGAGAGAGCACAAGCGGGGGAGCGGGAGAGGGAGAAGCAGGCTCCCCGCTAAGCAGGGAGCCTGATGCAGGACTTGATCCCAGGACTCTGGGATCATGACCTGAGCCGAAGGCAGATGCTTAACCATCTGAGCCACCCGGGCACCCAAAAATTCTGAGTCTCTCGACACACACATTCCCAGATGAAGACGAAGAATGGAACACTCAAGCCTTTCTGTTTCAGCTCTCACACTTTAAACAAGTGTCCTTTCTGTGGCATATTTAGTGCCACGTTTTTCACATTTTTGTGTGTTTAGTCGGTGATTCAGTGTAGCTGAAGTGCTGTCCAGTACTCCCAAGTGCAAGAAGGCTGTGATATGCCTTACAGATGAAATAGGTGTGTGAGATAAGCTTCATTCAGGCATGATTATAGGGTTGCTGGCTCTAAGTTCATTGTTAATAACTCAATATACATTAAAACAGAAACACACATGAAAAAGGTTATGTACTGCTCAGGGGATAAAAATGCTGTAACCAGTAGTTGGCAGGAACCCAATCCTGTTATATCCCCTAGGAGCAATACAGTTCAGTATTCACTAGGTTAGTGTTTGCAGTGACATAGAACATAAAGAAATAACAAGAACCAGCTGTACTTTTTAAAAAGTACACTGAAGGGGAAAAAGGAGACTTAAATTACATAATTAATAAGACAGATCTAAATTGATGTTATGTTGAGCTCTATACTCTGAAAATAAATATATACTTTTCAAGACCTCATGAAATGTTTAACTAATACATCATGGGGTGCTAAGAAAAATATCAATTAATTCTAAATAGTAAAGGGTATTATACAGTCTAATTGCCATGAATAAAATTAGAAATTAATGACAGTTAAAAAAACACCTGCCTCCAACCCACAAAACTAAAATTGCAGAAATCTAGAAAATAATAAAAATATTGTATACTGGAATATACAAAACAAAGCAGTGTTTATAAAGAAAGCCTACAGCCTGTTAAAAAAGAATGAATGAAATAAGTAGATTTGATATTCCATAAGTTAGGACAGGTAAAGCCCATCCAAAAGGAATTGTGAGAAATCAATAAAGATACAATCATAAAGAAACAAATTTTAAGCAAAAATCCATTCAAATTAGTAAATTTAAGAACTGATCCTCTGGGACAAAGCCACACTGATAAAAATCACTAACTTAATAAGAAGGAAGAAAAAACAAATATACATCATTAAAAATCAGAAGGGAGAGGAAAAAAGATTGAGGGGAAATTAAAAGAATTCTGACAAAATACTCTTCAATTCTAAGTAATTTGGAAAATAAATGACCTAAACGGATCCAAAGAGACACACAGTCTCAACAGACTAATAATAATAATATCAAAGAATAATGGGAGAAATTTGTTAAAGGAACAACACCCCTGGAGAAGGAACCACAACCACAAAGTTTCACAGGTACTCTATCAAATCTTCAAAGAACAGATAATTCCACTGCTCTTTCCATAGTGCCAGAGCATAAAGAAAGCAAGCTTCCCATTTCTTTGTACAAAGCCAGCATAACATGGTACTGAAAAACTGATAAAGGACTGCATGCACAAAAAGATTACAGGATCTCACTTATGAATATAAAAGCGAACAAAGAGAATCCAGGAACATATGGAAAAACCAGGATACCCATTACCAGAAGGTTCACAAAGTGGTAACAAGGATGGGGCAATAATAGAACATGTTTTAATATAATTCACCGAATTAATAAAACGGAGGAAAAATCCCACACGTTTAACTCCACAAATGTCAAAAAGGCACTTAGTTCATCACCCACTCTGGATTTGAACAAACCCCCAAACCCTTCTTTTGCACAAAAAATACCCTAAAATATGCTACCCCCCCACACACATAGTGTGTGTGCACATTTTCCTGTGAGTGCTCTTACAGATAGACCAATGTCCTAGGCACAAAAACCAAATCAAACAAAAACTTCTGGGCAAAGAACATGACCAGGTGTTTCACGTAAATACAAATGGTTTATAAACATAAAAATCGCTGAGTCACTAGTAACAAAAGTAGTACGGGTTAAAAACAATAGTAAGAAACAATTTCCTCACCCCTTGGATTTGTAAAGATCAAAAGATGTCATAACACATCAGGATGACAAGGATGTGGAGAAATAAGCACTCCCAAATACAGGTTAGAACGCAAACTGGTGTCACATCTCTGGAATGATATGGCAGTTATCTAGCAAAAATTTAAGATGCATGTGCCCTTTTATGATTCTTTCTTGGAATGAATTACCCACCATCATTTCCAAATTTTATACCTTCCCTTTATCTAAATACCGTACCTTCATTTTATCATTTAACATTACACTCAAATATTTTAACTCCACTTTTCTGTGCAACAGGCTCTGGAGTGTACAGATATATATGAAGTATGTCACTTCTAAGAATTAGCACTGGAATTCTAACTGGCCTCAGGAGTGTAGGTCCACAGCCATCCTAAGTGCAGGGCCAGGGCCACTGGTTGGACAATGTTTCCATAAGCTTTTCTGTGAGATTCGAAAACCTCTCCTGGTAGTACACCTTTTTTTTTTTTTTTAAATTGTGACAAAATATATATACCATTAAATAGAACATCTTAACCATTTTTAAGTGTACAATTCAGTGGCATTAAAAACACATTCATACTGTTGTACAACATCACCATCATCCACCTCCAGACCTTTCTCATTTCAAACTGACACTCCATACCTGTTAAAAAATAACTCCCCATTCCCTAACCACCCCCTTCCCCTCATTACCACTATTCTACTTCCTGTCCGTATGAATTTGACTACTCTAGGGATCTCATTTAAGTGGAATCATGTAATACGCATCCTTTCAGCTGTCTTACTTTGCATAGTATAATGTTGTCAAGGTTCATCCATATTGTAGCATTACTGGAACTTCACTCCTTTTAAGGCTAAGCAAAAGTCCATCATCTCACACACACACACACACACACACACACACACACACACACACACACCGCATTCTGTTCATCTGTACACCTTTTGATGGCCGTTTGAATTGCTACCACCTTTTGGCTACTGTGAATGCTATAAGCATGGGTGTACAAATATCTGAGTCCTTGCTCTCAATTCCTTGGGGTAAATACCTAGAAGTGCAACTGCTAGGTCACATAATTCTATTTTTAATTTTTTGAGCAATCATACTATTTTCCACAGAAGCTTTTATATTCCCACCAGCAATGCACAAGGCTTGCAATTTCTCCTTACTCGTGGCAACACTATTTTCTTTTTTGTAATAGTCATCTTAATAAATGTGAAGTGGCTTTGTGGTTTAGAGTTGCATTTCACTAGATGTTGAGCATCTTCTCATGTGCTTACTGGTCACCTGTTTATCTTTGTAGAAATGTCTATTCAAGTCCTTCATCCACTTTTTACTGTGACTGAGTTTTAGGAATTCTTTGGTACGTTCTGAATATTAATCACTTATCAAATACGTGATTTGCAAATATCTTCTCCCATCCTATGGGATGCCTTTTCGCTTTGTTGATAGTGCTTGGTATTACAGTTTGAAAGAGGGTATCAATCCTGCCTCTAATTCAGGTAGAACACAGGAGACCAGAGGCTGGGTAAACTACAGACTATGAGTCAGACCAAGAATAGATTTTACATTTTTAAAGGATTAAAAAAAAAAAAAAACCCAACCACATACACAGAGAAGAGTATGTGACAAAGACCACATATGGCCTGCAAAGCCCAAAATATTTGCTGTTTGGCCTTTTATTTAAATGTGAACTTATAGTTAAAGAAAATACTTAAGAGCTTTTCAATGTGGTTTGAAAAGAGCTTCCAAAGAGGTTTTAAAGCCTCTTGGAAGGACTAACGCTTTTGTCTGTTAAATAATTTAAACATGGTACTAGGATTCATGTTCTGAGCTAAATGATTCTACACGGTTGGGAGTTATAGCTCGGGAAAGTCTCAAATTCCATTACAAGTCCTAAATAGTATGCTAAGACCATTTATCATATCCTATGGCAAGCTGACAATTACCTAGGAAACCCCAATTACCTACTAAAGTCTTAAAATATAGCTGAAAAATCTAAACCCAAAAGTGCTTTCTTCTGAAAAACTCCCAAATGCAATTTGTCAGGTCCTTTACTACCTTCCTTTTATAAAATATTCACTCTAATTCTTTAAAAGACTAATGAAAAACAGTTTAGGGGCTCCAAACACAAAGAGCATGCAAAGAAATGTTTCTGTAATCTATGTTAAATTGAAATGGTTAGTTAAGTTTAAATGATCCAAGAACCAAGAGTCATTTCTTTCTTCTAGTATTCATTCTTGCTATTTGGCAAACTCTTTTGTACTTTAAGGGTGCTCTGTAAGATGAATACAAATATAAATGTGGTAAGGGATCCCTAATCTCTAGCTTCCTTCTCTTAGCTCCCCAAAACCATCTTGTAAGTAGTATAGCAGTTCCATCTACGTTTCTCAGGAACAGTGATTTTTGATGTTCTGCACATCAAAAACTTTCAGAAATTTCACATTTTTAGCCATTCATTGGCCATGCATTATATTAATGTTGTTATAATACAAAGTTCTGGACATGGTATGGTAGAAAAGTCTAGACTTGAAGGTAGAAATAGGTTCAAATTCCACCCCACCGTGTAACGTTTACTGTGCTCTCAGTGTCATTTGTTTTTTTCCTCAGTGTCATTTGTAAAATGGAAACTGAAATTGTGTACATGACACATCTAGAAAAAATTCAGTAAATGAAAATTTAATGAATACCATTTGCCCTTTCCCCTTTAAAACAGTAATGAATAAAACCAAGTAGGTAACGTGTCCTGCTTTTTCCACTACACTGATGGAGGGGAATGACTCTGACATCGGGAATGCTGACTGTGATTCAGTGAATGGTGAGAGCTTTTAGTTCTATAATCAAGTACTGAAGGCTATTCACGAAAGGGAGGAAGGAGGTAGGAAACAAAACTGGCACTACTGCTAGTAATGTTAGTTAATGTTGCAAAATTCCCCATATTACATGATGGAGACAGTGTAAGTTGTACAAAGGGAAGAAACCTGACACAAAACTAGACACTGAGAAGATTATCCTCGCATATCCTCTCTAAAGAAAGGTTATTAACTGTTACTATACTGCTATTTCTACATAGTCTAATGAATTGGGACATAATTTGGGGGGGTGACTTCCCCACAGTAAGCACAGGGCATCACATTTTTGTAGTAAGACAGAGAAAAGAAAAAAATAACACCCAAAATGCTACGTTCCTATTCCTTAACATTCCAGGTAAGGCGCATTATTGGATCAGCCTAAAATCCTAAGTAGCCTGTATGGTATGATAGATGATGAAGTAAATCAGATAGAGACTTGGAAATTTTATTTGAAAAAGAAAGAAAAAAAGTCTATCTCACTGCCTTTAGAGATGGTACCAAAGAATTTTATTTTCTATTTTTTAAAGACTTTATTTATTTGACAGAGAGAGTGAGCACAAGCAGGGCGAGCAGCAGGCAGAGGGAAAGGGAAAGGCTGAGCAGGGAGCCCGACACGGGACTTGATCCCAGGACACTGAGATCATGACCTGAGCCGGAGGCAAACAATTAACCATCTGAGCTACCGAAGAATTATTTGATAACTGACTTTTCCTCTGTCAGGATCTAAAACTGCTTCACATTAAAGGCTGTGGTATCACCTAGTGGTCATCAGTAGATCAACCACTAAACAGGGATTCCTTTGGAAGAGAATTCAGAGGAAAAAGGAATAAACTGAGTGTCCCAGGTATTGACTTTTACCTAAGGAGTGTGTTTAAAACAAGGCAAAAAATATTTAAAGGGTGGCGGCGGGGGGGGGGGGAGAAGGGTGTCTTATTAATTCTTTTTTGCTTGCAGCACAGAAAATAGTAGAAGATATAAAAGTTAATTTGAGGGATGTGTCGAGTGCTCCAGCTCTTTCCAATTCACCGCCTGTCAGGAGCAGTTCTGAAATATTTTCCCAAGTATAGCAGGACTGTTTTATTAATTCAGCGAAGGCGACCCTTTAGGTCATGCTAAGGTTTAACATTTTCTTTCTACATGCATCTGCCTCACCTACTAAACCAAGAGTCTCTGCTGGACACAAACCACACATTTTCCATATCTGTATTGCTAATGCAAAGTAGAATGGCTAGGTTGTAACAGATACGAATGAAAGCAATCAAGATAATCCCAACAATAAATTAGTTATCAGATAACCTTTAAATACTAGATAGTAATCATAAAACAACAAGGACAGAAAATCAGAAAATAGAAAAATCTATTTTCAACCATGAATTCACGAAGTACTAGATAGAGGCCCGAAGTTTCGGTAAATGGTTGCTAACCAGAAGTTCCTAAACCGCAGAGACTGAGAAAGACAGCACTGATGGTGATCAAGCCCATTTCAACATTTTAGAAAGTCCAGTGGACACAGTGTATTTATCTATGGTAATACTGCTAGCAAAACACAAGTTTCTTCCTTTTTGCCCAAAATAGTATCAGCTCAGTAGGGTAAGATTTCATCTTATGCTAATAAGATGCTCTGATAGCAATTATGTATTATTTTGATTACTAAGGGCTCTTGTTGTATATGCTCCCCCCCCCACACACACAAATAAGTTTCTGACAAAAGCAAAAGGATAAAAAAGGAATACCGGCAAGCCGAATATTGGCAGGCTGCGCTGGTATAAATCTCCTCATCCAACCCCTGCTCAATCCTATCTACCAAAGTAAGGTCCACTATTCTAAACAAACCTACTAGTCATTCTAGCTTAACAAACTGACACAGAAGCATAGCAATTTACGCGAGAAATTACCTCTCGAACTTCATCATCTTCTTCATTCGTGTTTTTTTGTCTGCTTTCTCTGAAACGGCGTACCTGTGTTAAAACAGTAAATCAAAAATGTTGCTTAATCCTATCACGGAAATATAAAACAATGGGCTACAACTGATTAAGAAATGCTTTCTATTACAACATAAAATGTGGGAATTTTTTGTTTCAAATTTTTATTTAAATTCTAGTTAACATATAGTGTAATATTGGTGTCAGGAGTAGAATTTAGTGATTCATCACTTACATATAATACCTAGTGCTCATCATAACAAGTGCCCTCCTTAATACCCATCACCATCTAGCCCATCCCCCACCCACCTCCCCCATCAACCCTCAGTTTGTTCTCTATGGTTAAGTCTCATGGTTTGCTTCCCTCTTTTTTTTTTCCCTTCTCCTATGTTCATCTGTTTTGTTTCCTAAATTCTACGTGAGTGAAATCCTATAGTATTTGTCTTTCTCTGACTATTTCACTGGCTCTACCCATGTTGCTGCAAATGGGAAGATTTCATTCTTTTTGATGGCTGAGTAATATTCCATCGTGTGTGTGTGTGTGTGTGTGTGTGTGTGTGTGTGTACACCATATCATATCTTCTTTATCTATTCATCAGTCGATGGACATCTGGGCTCTTTCCATAGTCTGGCTATTGTTGATAATGCTGCCATAAACATCAGGGTGCATGTGCCCCTTCAAATCCGTAGTTTCGTATCTTCAGGTAAATAACCTAGTATTGCAAAATTGCTGGGTCATAGGGTAGTTCTATTTTTAACTTTTTGAGGAACCTTCATACTGTTTTCAAGAGTGACTGCACCAAAAACTTGGAAATTTAAGTACAGTTTCGTTGACTGATTAAAGAAATCATAGTTCCCTAGTGACTTACATTAATATTTCAGAACTGTACTCTAAAAAATATATATATATTGGCCCTAAGCAAAACTGTATTACCAGTTGCCAAAATGTTCCATGTCACTGAAAAATGGGTCTATTAGACTGCAAAAGAAAAAACTGATACCTATGAGTGTTATACTTTAGTAAAATAGTTAAAAACAAAAATCTCTTCTTTCAGAGGCTTGAAATACTTATTACATGGCTCAAATCATTCTTCGACACTTGGCTCTAAGACACCCAGGAGGCTCTCTAAAAATAGTATCTGGGGACACCTGGGTGGCTCTGTAGATTAAGCGCCCAACTCTTAATTTTGGCTCAAGTCATGATCTCAGGGTCCTGAGATGGAGCCCACATAGGGCTCTGCACTCAGTGGGGAGTCTGCTGGAGATTCTCTCTCTCCCTCTCTCTGCCCCTCCCCCTGCTCACGTGTGTGCTCTCTTTAAAATATATAAATAAATCCTTAAAAAAATAGTATCTGAAGTGGGTGGGTCTCTGAAAATCATTTTATCAAGTCAACTACTAAATGTTTACTGTTTGCTGATAATGGTCCTGGAACCAAAAGGGAAACTAGAGATTCTTTTTTTTTAAATTCCTGCCCAACAGGCTCGTAGTTAGGTAATTAGGGAAAACCTCTATTTGTTTAGTAATTTACTTAGCACCTGTTTATGGAGCACCCATTATGTGCCAAGCACTATTATAGGAACTGAGAATCCAACAATGAACAAAATCGTTACAAATTCTGCCGCCATGGAGTTTAGGATTGTGTGCCTGTGCATGTAGCCAATAAACAAAAACAAAATAAGAAGTTATATTGTGTTTTAGAAGTTGGGTCGGACGGAGTTAATTTACAGCCAGACTAAGAACGCTCTGTCGTCTCTGGGGAGCCATTTATTTACTGATGTTTATTTACTGATGGTTTTCAACCTGTATAACCAGTTAGAAGCATGGCTTGATAATGAGACCAGAGGGGCATAAAAGATTCCCTGGGAACTTCTGCACAGATTTTGGTGTGTTCAATCCAGGGACCACTCTGTGCAAATGAGGACATGAGAGCTTACGTTTGGCTTCTCACAGGTCTCTAATGCCTGCCCATACTCTTTTCCTTGATGCACCATATCTTTTGCCTTTAAATAAAAACCTTAAATGAGTATGCTCAGTGGAGTCTTGAGTTGTTCAATGTTCAAATATCTGAACCCGTGAACGCTTTGCAAAAGACAGTAAGTGTGCAGAGAGAAATAAACCGGGAAGAGGGTGAGGAATACTGACTAGAGGTCACATCTGAATAGAATGATCATGCAAGGCCGCAATGAAAAGGTAATTTATGAGCAAAGGGAATGAATCTTGCATAACAAGGAGAGAACATTCTAATCGAAGGAAAAAGTGTACATAAAGACACTGGGAGAGGGGTGCCTGAGGGGCTGAGCTGGTTAAGTGTCCGACTCTTGGTTTCAGCTCAGGTCGTGATCTCAGGGTGGTGAGATCGAGCTCCACATTGGGCTCCATGCTCAGCATGGAGTCTGCTTGAGATTCTTTTTCCTTCTCCTTTTGATCCTCCCTTGCTATTAAATAAATAAATAAATAAAATCTTTTTTAAAAAAGGTACTGGGGCAGAATGCATGCTATGTTTAAGAAATAGCAAGGAGGTTGCTGTGGCTCAAGAAGATATGAGGGTAAGAAAGTAACAAAAAGCCAGACTGAATAGGGCCTTGTAAAAAAAAAACTGTAAGGACTTTTTTTGAAGGCAGGAGTGACTTGATCTGAAATATGTTAGTATCACTGACAGCTGAAATGAGGACAGAATGGGGGGGTGGAGGAGGGGTACAGGTAGAAAAAGGCAGACAAGTCTGGAGGCTATTAGATTATTCTAAGTGAGAAATGGCAATGCGATGGACCTCTGGTACTGGTGAAGACTAGACAAGCAGTCAGATTCTATATATATTCTGAAGTAATGCCAAGGACTTCTAGACAGTCAGGATCCAGGTGACATAAAGAGAACCAACACAAAGAGCAAAGGCTGAAAATCAGCAATTCAGACTGGGAATGTTAGTAGTTTGAGGTGTCTATTGAACATCCAAGGAGAAATGTCTAGCAGGCTGCTGACTGCAGAAATCTTGAGCTGAGAGAGGGCTGGGCTAGACTTTTGAAAATCACCACCCAACAATTTAAATCCAGGCAGCTGGATGAGATTACAAAAGGAATATGTAGCAGAAGAGCTCCAAGGAGTGAGTTCCGGGGACTCCCAATTTAAGAGGCAGGAGAGATATGAGGAACCAACAAGAGAAACTGAGAATATGCACTGTGAGGCAGGAAGAAAAGCAGAAAAGGGTGGGGTCCTAAAGCCAAAGAGAAAAAGATTTCAAGAAGAGTTCAAGGGAGATTTAAGATGAACTGACAGTGGATTTAGCAATGGCGGTCAACGCTGACTTCGATGTGAGCAGCTTCACTGGAATGATGGGTCAAAACCCCCAGACGATGGGTATAAGGGAAAAGTGAGGGAGAAAAATCAGGGCAGCAAATATAGAAAACTCTGAAGCAATTCTGCTATAAAAGAGAAACAAAGAAGATGAGTAGTAGCTAAAGGGAAATGGAAGTGAAGAGGGCTTTTGTTGTTGTTTAAGCTAAAAGAAATGACAGTATGCTTGTTATGATTTGGTAGAAGGGATAAAATTTGGTAGAAGGGATAAAAATTGTTTTTTAAAATGGCATAGTATGTAATAGTGCTCTAGGTGGTATATACCATTCCAAAAGTGCTAAGTCATTTGCAGAAATGAGTCAAGAGTAAAAATACAGAGTAGGTGCCATGTGCTGCCGGTGTTCTGGGACTTCACATGTATTCTTTGGATCCTTACAACAATCTTGAAGGGGTTTCTATTATTATCCCCCATTTTACAGATGAGGAAACAGAGGTGGAGAGAGGTTAAAAAACTCACTGGTAGTTATACAGGTAGTAAGGGTTTTGATTTTGAACACAGGTGGTTTGGTCCAGAATCCATCCCTTATGCACCCTCTCAGGAGTCCTAACAACTCTCCAGGTGGGGATGCTGAAGTTATTTGCTTTTCTGTTTATCTGTGGGTTTTTTTTTTTATTTAAGAGTAGTTTTAGGTTCACAAAAAAATTGAGAAGGAGGCACTGAGATTTCTCATATGCCCCCCAGCCCCAGACATACATAGACTCCCTACTATCAACCTCCCTCCAGCAGAATCGGGACATTTGTTGTAAATGATGAGCCTACACTGCCACATAATCACCCAAAGTCCAAAGTCTGTTGTTGTTGTTTTTAAGATTTTATTTTTAAGTAATCTTTACACCTAGCATGGGGTTCAAACTTACAACACCGAGATCAAGAGCCACTGATGGGGCCAGCCAGGTGCTCCCAAAGTCCAGTTTATATTTTGTTCACTCAGTGAGCTAGGAGTCTGGAAAAAGGTATGATGACATGTATCAACCTAAGTTATAGTATCATACAGAGGAGTTTCACTGCCCTAAAAATCCTCTGTGCACCTATTCATCCCTTTCCTTGCTCCTCACTAAACCCCTGCAACCTCTGATCTTCTTACTGTCTCTATAGTTTTGCTTTTTTTCAGAATGTTGTATAGTTGAAATCATACAGTCTGTATGATTATATACTTGATGATGTTGTATAGTTGAAATCATAATCTTTTTCAGATTGGTTTTTTTTCACTTAGTAATATGCATTTAAGATTCCTCCATGACTCTTCACAGACTGACAGTTCCCTTCTTCTGGCCTAAATAATAGTCCCTTGTCTGGATGTTTCACAACTTATCCATTCACCTACTGAAGGACATCCTGGTTGCTTTTAAGTTTTGGCAATTATGAATAAACCTGCTATAGAAACCTGTGTGCAGGTTTTTATGTGAACATAAGCTTTCAACATATTTAGGTAGATACCAAGGAGCACGACTGCTGGATCATATGGTAAGAGTATATTAAGCTGTTTAGGAAACTGCCAAACTGCCTTCCAAAGTGACCGTAGTACCATTTTGCATTTCCACCAGCAATGCGTGAGCTTTCCTGTTGTCTACATCCTCACCAGCATTTGGTGCTGTGTCAGTATTCCAGATTTTGGCCGTTCTAATAGGTCCATAGTGGCATATTTCATTGTTAATCTGCATTCCCTGATGACATATGATATACAGTATGTTTTCACATGCTTACCTGCCATTTGTAAATCTTTGGTGAAATATCTATTAAGGTCTTTGGTCTGTTTTTACAGCAGGTTGCCTGTTTTTTATTGCTGAATCTTGTTTTGTTTTTTTAAAGATTTTATTTATTTGAGAGAGGGAGGAAGGAGGAGCAGAGGGAGAGGGGCAAGCAGACTCTGGGCTGAGCATGGAGAGTGACACGGGGCTCAAGCAGAAACCAAGAGTCAGACGCTTAACCAACTGAGCCACCCAGGCGCTGCTTATTGCTGAGTTTTAAGAATTCTTTGTATTTTTTGGATAACATTTCTTTACCAGATGTGTCTTTTACAACTGTTTTCTCCTCCAAGTCTGTTGCTTGTATTCTCATTCTTTTGACATTGTCTTTTACTGAGCAGTTTCTCATTTTGATAAAGTCCAGCTTATCAATTCCTTCTTTCACAGATCATACCTTTGGTGTCGTACCTAAAAAGTCATTGCCGCACCCAAGGTCATCTAGATTTTCTCCTAAGTTATCTCCTGGGAGTTTCATAATTTTATATTTACATTTGAGTGGGATGATCATGTTTTATTTCTGGTACTTAATGGAGAAATGCATCCCTGCCAAAAATTTATGAACCCCATATACCCAGTGTACTTGGCATGGAATATTACTAGCTGCATACTGACATCATAAGGCTTTAAGAGAACCATGTTGACTAATTCAAAGCACTAAAATCAAAATCAAAGGGATTGAGTTTTAAAAATAATGTTTTGTTCTGCTCAGAGGGAATCTAGAAGATACAGAAAATGATCCCCTATAATCCCATTACCTGAATATAACCAATGATAATGTTTGGAATATTTTCTTTCATTCTTTGCACGTACACACACACTCACATATAAAATAAAAATCACTGGAATCATAGTGTATATAGTTTTAAATCTATGGCATTCTTTCCCCACATAACAGTGAAAATACTTCTCCACGTTCTTCAAAAGTGTTATTTTTTAATAGCTGCACAATATCTAGTGTGTATGTGCCAACATTTACTTCATCATTTCCCACTGCAGACAACACTTAGATAAATTACTCCATACACAAATTTCCACCTCACTTTGTCTTGGGAAAGGGCTGAGTTAAAGGAGAAATCTTAAGCCTCTTGATGAACACTGACAAACTGCCTTTCAATGCAGCAGCTCAAACTTGATACTCCCAATAGCAGCATACTAAATACTCTCCTCAAATTGCTGTCACTCTGACAAATAAAAAATACATGTGAGTTCCTTTGAACACCATTTTCATATGCTTACCATTTGTTTTTCTTTTGTGAACCACTTATTCATGTCTTTGTTCATTATTTCTATTGAAATGTTTGCTACTTTTCTTAACATTTACTAAGATACTTTAATATTATGAGTATCAACCTTTCTTCTGCCCACATACAGGTATGTTCTCCATGTCAATACACTTTGTTTTTTGATAATCTGACATACAAACATTTACAATTCCTACGCAGTCAAACCTGAAGAGCTTCTCCTCTGATCCTTCCACTGTTTTTATGCTTAGAGATGAATTTGAATTTCTAGATGAAATTCAAAATCTCAATCAAAACTTACTAAAAAATTGAAAAGAAGTTTTCATCCTGTAAGGTTCATTTTAAAGCATTTTCAAGAGAAGATCCTATCTATGGAGAACAAAGCTAGCATTTAATGGATTTCAATCCTGTTTTAAGATTCTGTTCCAGACCTTTTTACTTTAATCCTCATTTTACGAACTCAATTTTATAGATGAGTAAACTAAACAAATCAAAGAAGTTAAACAGTAGTTTAATAGAAAGAAAAGTCAAAGCTACTCTTAAGGAGTGAGTGTCTAACTAGCTTCTCCACCCCAAATTGGTTACCTCTTCATCGATTTTATCTTCTACGGCATCAATATGACGCTCTTTAAGAAATCGCTGTGTTTTTTCCAACTGGTATTTCACTAATTCCTCTATGGCATCTTTTTCTTCCTTGTCCACAAATTCTTGTACTGCTTCACCCATTCCCCTTTCTGTTAGAAGTGAGAGCTGCACATTCTGTAAAAGAGGTACAAATCACTGGATGCAGAAATCAGTATCTATTCCTTACCAAATAATTCTATATGAGCAAGGAAAATTAGAGTATAATGTTACCAGGGGAAAAAGACAATAAAGTTATCTAGTTGAAGGGAAAACAAAACAAAACAAAACAATGGACAGTAAGTAAGCCTACTAATAAATTTTATGAGCCAGAAGAAGTCAAGTAAAAATAAGAAATGGGAGTAGTTTTTAAGACAGGTGGGAATGCAGAGGACTGAGTGGTTGTGATGTAGAGTCCTGAAATGGTAGCTGATGATTAAGAGATTGGGTTAACCAGTGTAGTGGGCAGAGTAACAGCCCCCTAAAGATGTCCACATCCTAATCTCTGGGCTGTGAACATGTTACACCGAAAAGGAAAACTACGGTTGGTTACAGATGGAATTAAGGTTGCTAATCAGCTGGCTGCACAATCAGGAGATTACCAGGGACTGTGCAGGTGGGCTCAGTGTAATCATGAGCATCCTTAAAAGTGGAAGAAGGAGGCCAAAAGAGGGAGTTGGAGGGAGATCAGACTGGGTGAAAACGGCCAGAGAAATGTAACACTGCTGGCTTTGGAGGTGGAAGGAGGAGGCTGTCAGCCAAGAAATGTGGACACCTCTCGAAACTGGAAAAGATAAGGAAATGGATTTTCCCCTAGAATCTCCAGAAAGGAACACAACCCTGCTAACACCTCAATTTTAGGCCAGTGAGACTGGTGTCAGATTTCTGACCTACAGAACTATAAGATAACAAATGTGTGTTTTTTTTTTTTTAAGATTTTTTATTTATTTGAGAGAGAGAATGAGATAGAGAGAGCATGAGAGAGGGAGGGTCAGAGGGAGAAGCAGACTCCCCGCCGAGCAGGGAGCCGGGAGCCAGATGCGGGACCCGATCCCAAGACTCCAGGATCGTGACCTGAGCTGAAGGCAGTTGCTTAACCAACCAGGTGCCCCAAATGTGCATTATTTTTAATTATGAAGTTTTATGTGGAAATTTGTTTCAGCAGTAATAGGCAATTAATAGAACCAGATCTAAAGTGGCACAAACTCATGACAATGAAGGTAGCCTTACCATCCTGTGTCTGTCTTAATAAAGTAGTTCTGAAATTACATCTAGATGCAAGAGAGGTAAATCCTGGATTCAGAAATATGCAGTAGAGGGTGTCTGGGTGGCTCAGTTGGTTAAGCGACTGCCTTCGGCTCAGGTCATGATCCTGGAGTCCCGAGATCGGAGTCCCACATTGGGCTTCCTGCTCAGCGGGGAATCTGCTTCTCCCGCTGACCCTCCCCCCTCTCATGTGCCCTCTCTCTCTCTTTCTCTCTCAAATAAATAAAATCTTAAAAAAAGAAATGCAGTAGAGATAAAAAGGAAGAGCAAAACAACAGTAACAATAATAGCCACAATAACACCATTAATTCAGCACTGATTTTTCCTGATGAAGAGTAATCAGAAGTGAATGTAATTAATTGCTGTCCCACTTAGTTCATGGAAACATTGTGAGGATCTCTTTTGTTTGAAATATCAATTATACATATCCCAAATTAAAGTCGGTTATCCTCAGAGAGCCATTCTTCAACATGTAGGCTATAATTAAGAAATTACCTTCTCTGCAGTCTGAAAATACTGTTTTACAAGGTCTTCTACTCTTAGGGTTGTTCCTTCTGAAGGTTTTGTGATGAGCTTTCCAAAGTTGATCTCTTCTCCTAGAAAAAAGAAGTCCGTGGAAAAATAGTAGCTTCTGTGACAGTGTAAAAGTGCCCAAACTCATGGCAGGTTTGGTTCAGTACAGGAGGTATGGCCAAACTTGATTAATGATCAGCTTGCTCGGTCAACATGGCAAATTTTAGGCAAAAACATGGCATTATTGCTAATAGCCACAGTCTTTTCCTCAAAACGTGTATTTCTTTTCCTATTCCAAGTCTTGGCTCCTATAGCTATTCTCAAAGGGTGATCTTCAGACCTCTGTTCTCCAAGACCATTTCAGGGAATGTTCAGGACCAAAACTTTTGTAACGACACCAAGATGCTATTTACCTGTTCCGCTACATTGCCATTTGCCCTGATGATACAAAAGCAATTGTGGGTACAATCGCCGGTTCCTTATTATAAGTCAAGGCAATGGCTTGGAACTGTATAACACTCACCACCACATCTGCACAGCTCAAAGCAAAACAAAGAAAGCCAGTTTCACTTAAGAATGTCCTTGATGAAACTGTGGAAATTATTCATTTAATTAAATCTCAGCCCTTTTTAATACTGTGTGAGACAAATGGGATGTGTGCTTACAGCACTTTTGCTGCATTCCTAAGCAGGAGCGCTGTCTCACACATAGTAGGTAAAGCATACAGTGAGTACAGGAGGAAGCCAAGAAGCCAAGGGTCCAGGACCTACTCTGCTAATAACCTTTGTCAGGGAAACAAATATTAACTGTCTAGTGGATGTTGGACCTGGCCATGAAAACACAATGGTGAAAAGACAGGATCCCTGACATAAGAGCAAATGATTACAATAAAGGCGGGAAATGCTATGAGAGGTAAAAACAGAGAGTATGACACACAGAGAAGAAACAACCTAATTCTTCTCAGGGAAGGTTGAAAATAATGTGCAGGTATCAAATGCAGCTACCATTTGAATCAAGACTTGCAGAATGAATAAGATTCACTAAGCAAAACAGGAAAAAGAAAAAACTACTTGAGGCAGAGGGAAAACTATGTGCCATGGCCTGGAGGGTCACACACAACATTCAGTGTGTTTCTTGCAAAGTGTTGAAGACAAGTGAACGGAAATCTTTTTCAAATCTCAGGACAGTAGAATTAATACAGCTTCCTAAGTACAATCACTATATTTTATGATGCCGGATACTATGTTTAGACTATTTACACACATCGTATCATCTAATCCTCACCAGGACTCTATGAGGCAGGCTCAGTTATTATCCTGATTTCACAGGCAAGAAGATCAAACAGAGAGCTCATGTAAATTGTACAATGTCACACAGGTACTTGAGGTGTAGAGCTGGCCAAAATAACAAAAAATGCTTTCAATAAAACACGCAAAAGGGTTATTGTTTCCATTTAGCAATTTATGTTTAAACCAAAAAGGAATCATTAGAACAAAACTGACTATGTACGAAACTCAAGTAACAACGTACCAGTTCTATATTCTGTATTATTATGAACAGTACACCCATAAAATCTCAAGGGATTGATAAGCATGGACAATTAAAGTAAACCACTATCAATAAGTAAGTAGTTAAAATTCATAGCATAAGAAAATAATTATCTGGGCGCCTGGGTGGCTCAGTCATTAAGCGTCTGCCTTCGGCTCAGGTCATGATCCCAGGGTCCTGGGATCGAGTCCCGCATCGGGCTCCCTGCTCCGCGGGAAGCCTGCTTCTCCCTCTCCCACTCCCCCTGCTTGTGTTCCTGCTCTTGCTGTCTCTCTCTGTCAAATAAATAAATAAAATCTTTAAAAAAAAAAAAAAGAAAATAATTATCTGATAAGGATTTTTTCCTAAAACAATATTTTATGAGTTCCATTTAAATATCTGAACGAATGTTTCAGGTTGAGTTAACAGCACACAGAACTTGGTCACAATTTGAAACTGAAAATCGAAGCTTATTAATAAAAAACCTAAGTAGCTTTACCTATAAAACAAGGGCCATATTTTTCTATAAAAATTCTCTGCATTAATAGTTTTAGAAGAGGCTCTTATTTAACATGATCAACATTTCTTGTGAAAAAGCACTATTTCAGCTGGATGGCCTATTTTTATAAATGCACTTAAAATAAGGGCAATTAGTTTTTATGAAATTTAATTAGGAATTAATTATCTGATCATGAGAAACATCAAATTATGATACTTCTTATTCCAAGACTGCAGTCTTCCTAAATCCCTATGTACTCAAAAGTTGAAATATTTGATGCAAAATTTGAGTATATTCTCTGAACACTAATAATGTATAGTCAATAATATATATTTTGAGCAATAAATCTTTAAAGTCTGTGTGCACTGTTACTCAGCAGCACTGTTTTTAAAAACTGTATCTCCAGAGAAAGCCTTCCCTTTCTTTACTGTTATCCAGATTTAAAATGATTGCTATCTAATTTTCAGAAGACAAGCGATTTAATTATTCCAACTGCCAGTTTAAGGTATCAGAAATAATCATATAAAAATATTTTCATCATTTTCTGTTTCTTTTACTAAAGACTGATTTTTGTAAGCCCTATAAAAAGTATTTAATTTGTGAAAATAACTAGCTTACCCGTGTTTTTCTTTTGTTCTTTATGTCTGAAAAAATGGATAACATCTTTTGGATTAGCTACCCGATCCACAAATTTCTGGCTAAAGCGAAGAACACTGAAAGGCTCAAAACCTCCACTATAGTCCACCTGGAAATACAAAATAAGCTATGAGGCCTAGAAACAACAGTTTACCAATTTCATTATTTATGTTTATGCTCAATACTTTAAAGCTAATAAATGTTCTACAAGTCATGTTAAAGATCATGATGTGTGTTAGACCTTTTATTCTGTTGAGAAAACAAAGCTTCAAAGGTTTATGAGCTTACACGAGACATTTTGCTCAATGGACCCAAGATACATCAAGAATTCCCACAAGGTCTGAATGTTTACATCCCCCTATGATAACATTAAGATAAGAGCCTAGGTACCAGGAGTACCACCAGGAAAGGAGGTGAAATTTCTAAACATAAATACTTAAACTTTCATAACAGAAAGAAAATTCTCTCCTAAAATAAAATGCCAGCCCTAGATGCATTAGTTAATTGGACTATCATCTTAGGGGTATACTTTCACACTAACAAAGACATGCTGGAAAAGTCATGCAGGAAAAGAATCCAATGTGTTAGCTTTGAGAAATGATTACCTTCAAAGTACAGTATCTATTTAGAAGTCACAGTCCCTCTCAAGGCAGACTCTAAGTTAAGAAATTTATAGTCATACAGAGACCTTTTCAAAGAGAAATGCATACTACATTTTTTTTTCCCAAGAGATAATAATCATTTCCCTAAACTAGCTGTTCTAAAGATAGACTCTGGGAACCAGCATCGTACTGCATCACTGGCCTATCCAAATTCCCCTAACCTCCACCCAGTTTACACTCTTCATCACACTTAGCACGGGCTGGCATTTTGCTGCTACCTATTTTTTATGTCTCTCCTCACACTTCCACCTCCCATAAGCCCCATAAATTCAAAACCTCCTGTTTTATCATCACTGTGTCCCCTAGCATGCAGAAGAAAATGTACTCAAAAAGTATTTGTTTACTGAATCATAAAATTAGTGAGAGCCCCCTAGTTGATACAATGTACTTTTGGACTATTACTAATGAAAATACCTATTCTTTTGTTTCATGAATGATTTAATAATTCACTGTGTTTAGCAAAAGGAGTGTTAATTTTCTATTTAACTGTACTTGGTTCTAATGGTATTAGGCAGACATGGATGAGAAACATGGGATCTTTTGCCCAGATAAAGAGAACTATGTGGTTCTCCCAAAGCAACTATGTATTACATCTCTACAGCAACCATGTTATAAAACAGAAAATGCTAAATGCTCAGGTTATTGGGTCTCCCCAAAACTCTTCTATACATTTTATCAATGATACTCCAGCTTAGGTTGATTTGTAATTTTCTGCTCCCAAGAGTCACAAAACTCATTCACTAAGCAAACTTTACTGAGGAGTCCACAATGTGCTAGGCACTCTGCTAAGGGCCAGGGATACAGCCATAAGAAAGTATAATCTTGGTTGTCAAGAAATTCACAAGCTGACTGGGAGGACAAACATGTAAATAAATAAGTACAAGCAGAATAGGATTGGTACTTAACAAGTACATACAAAGCAGACCGACGGCACAAAGGCAGAAGCACTGATTCTGAAGGGAGATCAAGACAGGCTCTTGGAAAAGGGAAAGCTTTAAGTGGATGTTGAAGGAGATGCTATGGAAGGAGAGAAGCACATTCCACACAGCAGGATCAGCATGGGCGAAGGTACAGAAGAGTGAAATAAACTCCACTGAACCCAGGGAACAGTAACTTTTAGTCTAATATAGCTGGAACTTAGAAGGTTCTGGCAGAAAAAGGAGGTAGAAGCCAAAGAGGTCGGTTTTGACCAGGTCATTGTAAACCCTTGAATGCCATGCAAGATTTGTTCCTATTAGCACTAGGGGATCATTAAGTCATTTTCAGCAGGAAAGTCATGCAAGACTGACTGTGTTTTACAAAGATGACTTTGGCATTAGTGTAAAGAGGCTAGAGGTGGGGTGGGGGGAGGAGAAACTGAAGGCAGAGTCAGAAAGGAAGCTGCATTTATAGGCCAGATAAGAGAAAATCAGGGTTCAACTTCAGCAATGACAATGGGATAGACATAGACAGAACAGACCAGATTACTTACTGTGCAACAGGTAATACTTAATTCATTTTGATCTTGTAAATCTACGAGGTACAAACCAAGGGACAAAAGATCCAACTGTTCAAGATCATATAGTAACCCAGGCATTCTGACTCTTGACTATACCCTTTATCTTCACACTATATATCCCAGAATTTCTCAAATTTTAATGTGCATACAAATCTCTTAGGGATCTTGTTAAAATGCAATTCAGTGGGTCTGATATAGGGCCTGAGATTCCGCATTTTAAAAAATTTCCCGGGGTGCCTGGGTGGCTCAGTTGTTAAGCGTCTGCCTTCGGATCAGGTCATGATCTCAGGGTCCTGGGATTGAGTCCCGTATCGGGCTCCCTGCTCAGCAGGAAGCCTGCTTTTCCCTCTCCCACTCCCCTGTTTGTGGTTCCCTCTCTCGCTGTGTCTCTGTGTGTCAAATAAATAAATAAGATCTTTATAAATAAATAAATTAATTAATTAATTAATTAATTAATTAATTAATTCCCCTCACATGAGGGGCGCTTGGGTGGCTCAGTCAGTTAAGCTTCTGACTTGTGATTCTGGCTCCGGTCACAATCTCAGGGTTGTGAGATCGAGTTCCGCACTGGGCTGCCCACTGGGCACAGAGTCTGCTTGGGATTCTCCCTTGCCCTCTGCTTCTCCCTCTCTCTCTCCCCCTCCCTCTCTATAGGTAAATAAATAAATAAAAGGAGTAATTGTTTCCCAGGTGATGTCAGTGCTGTTTTGATTATTCCTTGAGTACCAGGCTTTGGGGCGCTGGGGGGGGGGCGGTGGTGGTGGCTCTTGGACCTCACGGAGATCTAAGCTGGAGGTAAAGATGTGGGCATCATCACTCTATAGGTGGTCCTTAAAGCCATATGCCTAGGCTGAAAAGAGGGCTAAGATAGAGGATGGGTCAACCATAACTCGAAGATAAGAAAGCCAAAGAGTGATTCAGCCAGATGAAAACAAGCCGCTCGCTTTGACAACTGAACATCTTTTCTACCTGAGCTGGTAGCATCAGAGCCTTGTTTATAGTGGACTGAGGAACAGAATGTTAAATGAGTAGGAAGGGCTATGGATTTCGAGGGGTTTGGAAGAAAATAAAAGACAGGGGCAGAACTCATTGAAAGAAGGGCAGAGGGACAAAAAAAAAGAGGCCTGTTACTTTTTTTACACAATGATGGAAACAAATAAGTAGGTTTCCAGGCATAGGAAGCGCTTCAATTTCTTTAAATTTTTTAATACTCGAAAATACTTAATTCTTTCCACATATTTCTCAAGCACTTGCTATATGCCAGAACTGTTCTGAGATCTCTGGATATATTAGTTAACAAAATTCACAAAGTTCCATGCTCTCGTGGAACTTACAGTTTTGTAGTTGAAGACACACAATAACCAAAATAAATACATTGCATATAGCAGGTTAGGAGGATGTGTTGTGGAGAACGAAGAACAAGCAGAAGAGGGTAAGTGAAATCAGGAGTGCTGGGGAGAAGACACGGGGGTGCCATCTCACTGGGGGGCCTCGCTGAACAGATAAGGAGGGGAGAGTGTGAGCGTAGCGCTGCAGGAGGCCACACGGAGTGAGGGGAGAGAGAGTAAAAGATGGAGTGAGACTTGACCAACCTATTAAATAGAACAGACTATTCAGAAAATGAAAAAAATAAGAAAAAAAAAATCAGGGCGCCTGGGTGGCTCAGTCGTTAAGCGTCTGCCTTCGGCTCAGGTCATGGTCCCAGGGTCCTGGGATCGAGCCCCGCATCGGGCTCCCCGCTCGGCAGGAAGCCTGCTTCTCCCTCCCCCACTCCCCCTGCTTGTGTTCCCTCTCTCGCTGTGTCTCTCTCTGTCAAATAAATTTAAAAAAAAGAAAAAAAAATCAAATTTACCAGAATCAAACTATGATTAAATCAAATCCTGACAGCTTTATTATTTCTGGTGCCAGATGGTGATTGCTTTTATTATTATTGTATATACTCTTCTTACTAATTTTTTTAAAAAAATTATGTAAACTGTATAGTACTATCCTCTGAAAATCAATAAAGTTTATTTTATCTACAAAGGACTTACTCGTAGTCGTATAAGAGGCTTCTCTGGCTGTCGAGAATTTCCCAGACGTTCTCGTTCAGCATTTTCAAGCATTTCTTTAATCTCAAAATAAAAATATTGTCATGACTTGGGGGAAGGACACTACTCTAGCGGGCAGAGGTCAGAGAGGATACTGTTGAACACCTACAAAGCAACCTCCCACAACAAAGGATTACCCAGTCTAAAATGTCAGTTTTGTCAAGGCTGAGAGACCGACATAGGCCTGACCAACCAATCCATTTTCCACCTCCCAGGGACACTCCAACAGAAAGCAGTACTAGGAGTTGATCTGGAATGACTGGGAAAACAGGCTCTTTCTGCTCTAAGGACTTTGTGAGTCTGGGGGCCACCCGGCAGACATACTGTCCTCAGGGTGAAGCTTCAGACAGCTACCTACAGAGCAGGTGTCATGGGGGCTAAACACAGAAACTGCAGTCTTAATGTGAGTTTTTGGGTCTAGTCCTCTTGAATCCAGCATACTCCAACTTTTCAGCTATGTGAGTTACATGTTACCAGGAAGGCCGTGACACTGGGTGAGTGATTTCATCTAAGGTTCGGTTCCTCTTTCCATAAAATGCAGATGACAGGATCTACCTACCTACAGCACTGTTGAGCGGATTAAATGCAAAATGCTATCAACAGTGCCCAGAATATATGAGCAATCGATGAATATCAGTGATAATTATAAGAACTACAGCAACTACAAGCAATTAATGGTATTAAGGTGTCAATTTACACGTTATCAAGTGCATCTAGGCAACTTCGGCAGCAGCTCTAGAATTTCTCAGAAGTTCAGGGGTGGCAAATCTGCATGGAAGGTGAGGTATGGTACTTATGCGGAAGCTACAAGGCGCAGAGCAGACACATTTAAAGATTTCATGTGGGGTAGCTTTCAGGCTGAAAGGGATGCTTAACAGAGATTATTAGAGATGCTAAGGCTTTCCTCATCCTCCACAGTATCCTCCCATTCCCAATCAAAGCCACCGTCGGCTTTCATAAATAAAATGAACAAATTATCAAATCAGAATAAAAACAAAGAAAAGATTATGTGTTAGGTATTTGAGGAAGAGGAATGGAACTGGGAGGGGGCTTAATTAAACAAAGTTTCTTCTACCTTTAACATTCTTCCATCTCCAAGATTTAAAAAAGTGTCTTTGATACAATTAAACTCATGGAACAGCATGCTTCCTTATGGGCTTCATGAGACTGTAACAAGTACAAAGACTTCTTCTACTCTATGGAAGTATTTAATTCAATGTAAATCAACTCTCAGCTAAAGCAGATCTCATTGACCTTTATCTAGAGGAATTACCTTCTCCAAACAGAAGCTCTGTATGGCCTGGGTTACTTTAGGATTATCTGGGTTAAAAATGTCTGGATGATCAGCCAGAACAATATCCTCCATGAAAAACTGCCGCACTGTGTGAAGAGGAATTTTCTGCATATTCATCTTCCTTCCTTTTATACGCAGCAAACCGACATGTCTGAAATGAGGAGGGAAATGAAAGTCTAGTCACACTGTAAATTTTCTCGGAAAAATCTGCACACCAAAACTATTGTATCTCTGAGTTCCTACAAAATATTTCTCTATAAAATCATACTCTTAAAAAAATTTTAATGTTTTATCACCAGAAAAAAATGTTAACATTCTTCCCCAGAATAAAATCCACTTATCTCTCCCTGCCTAAACAAATATACACTTTAGTGAGGCAAGACAGACAGTAGGTAGGACATAATGTTACTAGGACTATGACAGTAGTATCGATGGTAGAGACTATCACACATATACAGATTACGTGAGTATATACATACACAGACATACATAAAATGAATTAGCAGAACTCTGAAGAAAAAAAGCCAAACTTACATCCCACTACCATAGTCTTTAAACCTATTATTAACATAACAATCAAAAGCTGAGTGGATTCAAAAGGTGAAATCCATTATAAAAATTGGGCTTAATCACTGTTAACTACTTTATCATATAATTCCCCTAAAGAATTAAAAGAAATGAGATATGCTACAATGTTGCATTTATAACCAGAAAAATCTCAATTAAATGGCTTTAGGTGAATTGGTTTATAAATGGACTTTGTGAAATTAGTAATCATCATCCATAGCACTCTAACTTGAAATTTAATTGGTAAACGTGTTAGCCCTGAATATGTCTAATAAGCAGCAAAATCATTACCACCACTGGGACGCTATCCTGTTGAAAATGGCTTTAAGATCTGAGAAAATAGACTACACCAAATAACCAATCTTCATAAAGAAATCTATCATATAAAAAACCATCAGTACTTTGAACCTGTAGGATGATTGTAGCAAGAATTTTATTGTAATTGATTTGCAAAACAAAACAATTACTTACTTCTTTACAGCTTCTCCTGGGGAAAGAGAAGTAACCACTGAACTGCCAGGTTGTGATACATAAAAGAGTTGCTGTTCATTTTTGGTTGGAGCTATTTTACACTCATGTTCATGGCCCCAGATAACAAGATCAATGAAGTCATCCAAAAATTGTTCTGGAATGAAGTTAGTACTTCCGTGTTTACTCCTATACCAAGATTTTAAAAAATAAACATCAATGTCCAGAGATACAGAAACACTTCATAGTAAGTAAAGCTGTACAGACCTTTCTTTCTCCATTCATTAAAGCCTTATTACATCTCTTATTTGTGCCAGAAACTGTTCAAGGGTTTAGGGGTGCAAAGATAACACCTAATTCCTGCCCTCAAAAGCTTTACAAACGTGCAGGACACAGACAAGTAGGAGCCGCAAGAGAGAAACTGGTCAATTCTACACTGAGAGGCAGATTGCAAAAGGCTTTACGGAGGGAAAGTCAGAAAAGCATGCACTCTATCAATAGTGTGGCTGAGCAGAATGAAAGCAGGGAAGAGCTGGGAGTGAAATCAGAAAAGCAGCAGCACGAGCTCTATCAATAGTGAAACGTATAAATTGCTTTGATTATATATAAGGGGGGGGCGGCCAGAAAATGAAAGTGAATTAAGTCTTTGTAGAATAAAACAAATTTGTAGAATAAAAACAAATTTCTAAAGATGTCCAGCCATTTTTTAACATGTTTGTTTACTGATAAGAATGGGAGTTAAGAATTTCAGTCTTACATAAGAGATGACTTTTCAATACTAAATAAAATACTGTAGGAAGATTTGCAAACTCCAGTTTTATACCTAGATTAGTTGTCATTATTAAAAGATACGTGAAAACCCAAAGTGAGGAAAGACAAGAAGGAAGTTTTCCCTAACACTGACTTTATCACTGGGAATTTAAGAAAAAGTGATCAAATACTTCAACCTAGCATTCACTTAAGGCAAATCAATATTCATTCATTCAAGAATATTTCCTGCAGGTCTACTCTGTGCCAGGTGTCCCAGGCCTGTTCTAGATACTGAAGACACAGCAGGGAACAAAGTCCTTGCTAGTGGGGGAACAAGCAATAATACAGTATGTACATGTGTGTGCCTGTGTACTCATACATAATCTGTCAGGTGGTGGTAAGTGCTGTAAAGAGAAAAAGGGAGAAGTGACACAGAACAGGAATGTTACTATGCAGAGAGGGTGGTCAGGATAGGCTGCTCTGCCAGGCGACACATGAGCAGAAAACCACGATGAGGGATCAAGCATGCAAGGGAAGAAAGTCCTTGGCAGAGGGCTGAGTCCTGGGCAGAGTCCTAGAGCAGATCGATGGCAGAGGTGTTGAAGTGGGAATGTATTCAGTGAGTTCAAGGACAGCAAGGAGAGGAGCATGGCAGAGCAGAAGGAATGCAAGGAAGGGCTGAAAGTGAAATCAGAGAAGCCGCAGGCTCGTGTATCTAGGGATGTTTTTATGTAAAAAACATCTATCTAGGGTATGACATAATCACAGTTACTGAAGAAACACAGAATAACTTGAATACCATATGATGCAACTGTGCTTTCATAGAGCACCGGCTCTTCATGGAAGACGGAAGATTATGCTGGTGGGCTGACTCTGATTTGTGACTTAAAAGTTGATCAAAACATCCCTATGGAAATATTTTGTATGATAAGGTGGGCTCTTCTGCTTCAGAGTCTACTTTCTTTTTCAGCCAGAGAAAGAAACCGGCCCATGTATAGACACAAATTGGAAATAAAGTAAAATATAAAAAGCTCCTAAAAAGTCACTCACTAGGACAAACCCTGTTTTTTATAAGTCCATGAAAGCAATAAAAAAGTACGTAAGAATGCAGAGGGTGACAAATGAGCCTAACAGTATTACAAAAGAACTGCATAATCATGTTGAAGGGGCTGGGGGAAAAGAAGCTGGCCTAAGTAAGTCCAGAAGTGGTGTTTTAACTAGATATAGTAAGGCTAAAGACAAAAATAACTTACATAAACACTAGTTGGCAAATTTGTTTCTCATGGGTACAGGTCAGCAATTTTGAAATGACCTTATATGTCAACCAAGATTGAAAAAATTAAGTAAATATATTATAGATAAAATGATCCAGGTTTCTGTTAGAGAAAGAACTCCCACATAAAAAAAGGGAGAAGAAAAAAAATGAACCTGTCGGGCTGGGTTAGAATAAGTACAAACTCATGCTTGCGTGTGTGTTTTTAACAAATACAGACGTGTTTTCACGGGTTAGGATATATACACATATTTCCTTAACTCTGATCACTGAGGGCTAAGAGAATCCCAGCAGCAACAAACACATCTATCGGCCGTATATGGGTTTCTAAATACTGTTCTCCAAAAAAGGCAATCAGGGCTCTGTGGAAAAGTGGTTGATTCCAGGGCTAGGGTAGAAAATACAAGATGAGCCTGGAGCATCTTGTGGTACCAGAAAGTGAAGGACATGATCAAAAATAAATAAATAAAAAGGAAGAGGGCATGATGAAAGGACAAAGAGGCTAAAATACAAGAACTCTCAATGGTCAAAACTGGAACAATTAGAGCAAGAACAACAAAAAACCTGACAGTATTGGATTATAACGCAAAGGATAAAATAAATATCCTTCAAGTCCATAACAACATAAATAAATGAACAAATAAACGAGAGAGAAGGGACAAATCTTCCTTATAGAAGAATTTCAATTAATAAATGCAGAAAGAATGAGGGAAAATAAAAAACAACAACTGCAACACCACAGTATTCATTGCTGGAAATGAGATCCACCAAAGGATGCTAAAATTAGCGGGCAAAATTTTAAGGCCAAACAGGATATTCATATACCCTCCAATTATTTTTCCCAAAATATTAATTACAAAATGGAAAATGGGACCTTGACCCTGGAGCAACCTGGCATACACCACCTTCATCACATGATCAATGTTAACATCACCAGCAACTAACCATTATCGACATCATACTACCCGTTCCCATTCTTGATGCTGCCATTCCACCTCTCATTCTGGCTGAAGTTCTTGGAGTCACTTATGATTTTTCCTTCTGACTTTTCCCTACTTTGGGATAGTAGAAAGGGTAGCAGAACTGGGAAGCCCTAAGCAAGTAGAAACACAAATTCCCAGTGGTGCCAAGTTATAGGAAGACCGCACTTACTAAAACTCTGGCCTGCTGCTCCTTCTTTGAAACCCACTGTTTGAGAGCACACATAAGGCTGCCTCGTAAGGCCTTCCCTTTCACTGGGCACTTAAGTGGGCTTTAGTACCACAGTATTCTGCACTGAATAAATTATCTGTTCAGTACATAATAAATTATATAATCAGGCCCAAAACCCTTTGGATTCTTCCTTGTAACTTCTCAGGTTTGTCCCTTCCACATCAGTTTCACTGCCATCACTACCGTCATTCCACACTTTAACTGTAGTCACCACACAATAAATCTTTCATCGAGTCTTCCTTCCTTTCAATCAGTCCTGCACCCTACCAATAGATCAAACTTCCTCAAAATGCTAACAAAAGGCAGCTGATCTAGCTATATTTAATATATTCTAGAAAAACACCTGATATATGCATCAGGAGATGCATGTAGGAGTATTCACAACAAAAAGGTTTAAAAAAGCAAGACTCTGGAAATAACACAAAACATCCACCAACACAAGAAAAACTAACGTACAGATCAGTGAAAATTAATTATGCTTTTAGCATCAAAATGGATGAATCTTAGTAATATAATGTGGAACATAATAAGCCAGCTACAAAATATATAGCAGGGTTCCAGTTGTACCAAAACTAAACAAAATACTCGTGACAGATATAGATGTGATTAAATGATAAAGAAAAGCAACAGACTGATTAAATACAAATTAAAAATAGTGCTTCCCTCTGGGTATGTAGAAAGAGATGGGGTCAGGGAAGTGCATGGGATAATGTACTGGTAATGTTCTACTTCTCTGCTGAATTTAAGAGTATTCAATTTTATGGTTATTCTTGTGCCTTATCCATATGTCATAAATATTCTTTACAGATATCATTTATTGGAAACAATTTCAAAATGCAGTCACACAAAGCACATGTAAGTTTTGCATGATCCTGCCCTGACAACTTTCAAAGAATAAGGAATAGTTTATGGAAATATGGAAGCCTGGAAACAGAGATTTGAGGAACCTCAATACTTGACTCAAAAATTAAAAAAAAAAATTTTTTTTTCCAAAAAATACTTTTACCTGTTCTGATGAATCACAAATAAGTTAAACCAAGAGTTCTCATCTTCTTTTGGTCTCAACATCGTTACTTTTTTATTGATGAACATTCGATAGAGCCTTTCATCTGGAATGGAACCTGAAACATATTATTTTAAAACTGGTTTCTTACTTGGTTTAAAAATGAACGTTTTCCTTCTAAATTATGTGCTTCTCCAAGTATTTCATTTTCTTACTAGAGATATATTTGAAATCTAGAATCATTATTTACAAATGATTGTGTTCTAGGTTCTTGCATGACAGCTGCTGAGAAGACACTTGTAATTTAAAAAATGTTTCCCATGTCAGGCATACATACCTTCAAAATGTGGAAAACATGGAATGAAAATTTGAAGTTTTCTATGCTTAAATTCTGATTAAGATTTCCAGTAATACTGTTTTTCACTATCCCTTTATTATACATACTTTTGATCTAATATACACATTATAAACTAGAAATGTTAAAAAGGATGGTATACTTAAATACATTTATTTTTTATCTCATCCTTTTTAACATCTTTATTTTATAATGTGTATACTAGATCACTATTCTTTTTTATTGTTATGTTAATCACCATACATCATTAGTTTTTGATGTAGTGTTCCATGATACATTGTTTGTGCATAACGCCCAGTGCTCCACGCAGAACGTGCCCTCTTTAATACCCATCACCAGACTAACCCATCCCTCCATCCCCCTCCCCTCTAGAACCCTCAGTTTGTTTTTCAGAGTCCATCGTCTCTCATGGTTCGTCTCCCCCTCTGATTTACTCCCCTTCATTCTTCCCCTCCTGCTATCTTTTTTTTTTAACATATATTGCATTATTTGTTTCAGAGGTACAGGTCTGTGATTCAACAGTCTTGCACAATTCACATCGCTCACCATAGCACATACCTTCCCCAATGTCTATCACCCAGCCACCCCCACCCCCCCCCCCCCCCCCCACCCCCGCAACCCCCCCCTTGTTTCCTGAGTAGATCACTATTCTTATATATATATTTTTAAAATAAGGATATTATGCTTTTTATTAATGTAATAACTTTTAAATAATTCTTCCTGTACCCCAAAGGATCACCTTAGTCTAGTGAAGAAGGCCAAACAAACAACTAAACACACAAATTCCACTTTTAAATATCATAAAAGGGAAAAAGGATGCTAATATGGCGAATATCAGTGGGGGGACAAGTTGCTACTTTATGCAGTCATTACGGAAGGCCTTGGAAGAAAAGCCAATAATGCAGAAGCCAAGAACTGGAAAAAGTCTAGCTTCTTAAAGAGAATTTCTAGAGTGTGACCAATGGAACAGATGGTGGAATACAGAACACATAAACGGGAAACAAAAAAGTCAAGGCATACAAAGTCCAGGGCATTAGAAGGTTGATTTACTTAGGTGTTGAAGTCTTAGAACGCTGACAAAATCTGAAGGTAGGTAGGTGAAAAATTTGAAGGGAAAGGGCAGGGCAGTTTAGCCAATTAGCCTCAAGGGGGGCAGGGTGTTTATAGACAGGAAAGGAAGTGGCAAGCAGGGAGAAGGGGGATAAGTGATTCCTTTCCCCGACCCCCGCTTCTGCCTTAAAGTCTGTAAGAAGCCAGAGAGAAGCATGTGGGACACAGAACCTTAGGGACCAGTTTCCGCATAGGTCAGGAGTAGAGAAGAAATGTGAGATGAAAGAATCTGTTAACTGTAGAGAGAGGGCTGGGGTGAGAATGTGGGGTGGGAGGTGGAATCCAGTTAAGGAGAACAGAACAGGATGAAATGAGAGTTTGGGAGAAAATGGATGACCTCAGCAATGCTCCAGGCAGTGCCTGAGGCATATTGAGATCTGGCTTAGTCTGAAAGTAGGAGATCACCATTTTCTGCAGATATGATCCCTAGCACTGCAGTGATTAAAATACCTGTTAGCATCTTTTTAAAAGAGTGTATTTCATGGGCGCCTGGGTGGCTCAGTTGGTTAAGCGACTGCCTTCGGCTCAGGTCATGATCCTGGAGTCCTGGGATCGAGTCCCACATCGGGCTCCCTGCTCAGCAGGGAGTCTGCTTCTCCCTCTGACCCTCTTCCCTCTCATGCTCTCTCATTCTCTCTCTCTCAAATAAATAAATAAAATCTTTAAAAAAAAAAGTATATTTCACTTCTTGCTCTACCATTTGGGAAATCAGACATAACAGTCTGATCTCATTTTCCTATCTCTAAAATATAGATAACCATGATGCTTTTCTACTTTTTAGAAATCATGAGGGTGCCTGGGTGGCTCAGTCATTAAGCGTCTGCCTTCGGCTCAGGTCATGATCCCAGAGTCCCGGGGTCAAGTCCCACATTGGGCTCCCTGCTCAGCGGGGAGTCTGCTTCTCTCTCTGACCCTCACCCCACTTGTGCTCTTTCTCACTCTCAAATAAATAAATAAATAATCTTAAAAAAAAAAAGAAAGAAATCATGAAAACTGGACAAAGACTGTAAAAGTTCCCTAGGGTTAAGTAAACCACCCATCATAATTATTCTTTTAAAAACATATACAAAGAGGGGCTCCTGGGTGGCTCAGTCGGTTAAGTGTCTGCCTTTGGCTCAGGTCATGATCTCAGGGTCCTGGGATGGAGTGCCCAGTCAGCTTCCCTGCTCAGCGGGGAGCCTGCGTCTCCCTCTCCTGCTCCCCCTGCTTGTGCTCTTTCTCAACTGGGCAAGTAAATAAATAAAATCTTAAAAATAAAATATACACACATATACACACAGAAACTTGAATGAAGTAAATAAAGTCTCCTAAGCTTCTATTATATTAAAATCACTCAAAAATATAAAAACTATGTTAAGGCTACAGTGTGAAATTTTTCCTAATTTCTCTCAGGGTTCATGATTTAACAAGGAATACAATTTTTATTATTTTTTTAAATTTTTTTAAGGATTTTATTTATTTATTTGAGAGAGAGAGAATGAGAGAGAGAACACGAGAAGCGGGAGGCTCAGAGGGAGAAGCAGATTCCCCGCTGAGCAGGGAGCCTGATGCGGGACTCGATCCAGGGACTCCAGGATCATGACCTGAGCCGAAGGCAGTTGTTTAACCAACTGAGCCACCCAGGCACCCAGAAATATAATTTTTATAATTATACACAATAAAAACAGCAAAGCCATAGCATTCATAAAACAAAGTATCAAGCTGAACTTAATCCAAGGAAGACTCAACAGACTTTGAATGCACTCTAAATAAAATATTCTTTGATTTTTTGTTCATATGGAATCAAGCCTAGCAAATAGGTTTTCACCTACTGGACACTAAATAAATTGAAGATAGCCAAGTTGATAAAGCAAATATTCTAAGCATTACAGATGACAGCTCTGAGCTAGCAATGTCTAACAAAAATACAATGTGAGCCTCTAACACAGGCCAAATATGTAATTTTAAATTTTCTAATAACCATATTAAAACAAGTAAAAAGAAACAGGTGAAATTAATTTAAGCTAATATATTAATAAGGTATTTTACATTTTTTTCTAAGTCTTTGAAATCTCCTGTGATTTTATATTTACAGCGTATCTAAATTCAGACCAGCCACATTTAAGTGCTCAGTATCTATATGAAGCTGGTAGTTATTGTATTGGACAGCGAAGCTTCAGACATTTCAAAGACTTCCAAGATACCAAAATGCAGCTTTTCAAATTACTCTATAATTCTAACATTCAGGATTCTATATCTGAGTCTAAAAGAAAGAAAAAAATCAACAACAGAAACTAAAGCAATTTTTTTTAACCAAAACTGCTATTAAAAGATGTAGTGGTCCTTATTAAATATAAAAAATTTCAACCAAAACCTATCACTTTTTATAGTCACGCATCAGGAATAATTAGAATGGCTTCACTTTTTTCCATACAGCAACAAAGTTAATTCCAGAATTTGATTTCAGTTGTTGCTTAAGCAACTATTTATTGACATAAACAGTAAAATAAAATCATCTTACCTAAGCCATATAGAGCAATTTTTGTGCTTCCTTTTTGGAGCAAAACTGGACTAATGTCTATCTTCTCCACAGACGCTGAACGTCCAAAGTGATTTACAAATCCAGCACAACTTAAAATATCCAGGGCGCAGAGTGCGTCTGCCTATGCAAAATATTTTCAAAGAATATTAATGTATAACTAAAAAGAAGTAATCTACATATCACATTACCTATTAAAGTATATCCCATATACTAACTAAAACATAGATTAAGATAGTGCCTTCTCAAAACAAAATTACGATAGTGTAAGTACTTGCTACCTTTCTTCAATTACAAATGACCTACTGCAACTAGAACCACGTGTTAAATATAAAGTTAACATTTCATCAAAACTTAGGATGTGAGGTGCCTAGGTGGCTCAGTCGGTTAAGCATCTGCCTTTGGCTCAGGTCATGATCCTGGGGTCCTGGGATTGAGCCCCGCGTCAGGCTCCCTGCTCAGTGGGGAGTCTGCTTCTCCCTCTGCTCCTCCTCCTGCTCATACTCAACTCGCTCTCTCTCTCCCCCAAATAAATAAATAAAATCTTTAAAAAAAAAAAATACTTATGATGTCTTGGCCACCAAAAATAAAAACCAGGGGCACCTGGGTGCCTCAGTTGGTTAATGTCCCACTCTTGATCTCAGCTCAGGTCTCGATCTCAGAGGCATGAGTTCAAGACCAGCATTAAAAAATAAATAAATTAGGGCGCCTGGGTGGCTCAGTCGTTAAGCATCTGCCTTCGGCTCAGATCATGATCCCAGGGTCCTGGGATCGAGTCCCACATCGGGCTCCCTGTTCGGTGGGAAGCCTGCTTCTCCCTCTCCCACTCTCCCTGCTTGTGTTCCCTCTCTGTCTCTCTCTCTGTTAAAAAATAAATAAAAAAATCTTTAAAAATTTTTTTTAAATAAGTAATTAATAAAAACCAGCCCTGAATTAAGTGCTTTGTAATATTAAGCAGACCTCTTAAGTCATGGGGGAAAAAAAAACTAGGCAACTAATGATTTATGGTATTAATGATCAGATAAAACAAAAAGATATTTTAAGTGCAGGACCTCTATTTTTGCTTCCCCATCAAACAGGCAATAAGATGATCTAATTTAGATTTAAAACTTTTGATGAGAAATCATTTCCTACAGGTAAGATTTTGAGATAAGAGACACAAAAACACCAGGTAAACTATAAAGCTTTATACAAATGTTAGGTATTCATTCCTACTCCTGGTTACTTATTGTCAACCTCAGCACTAATGAAATAAAAGCATACCTCACACACCAATTATTAATCCAGATTTTAGAAAATTATCTAAAAAGCAGTATAAAAGCTTATATGAATGTACAAAGTCAACTTGACTTTCTGACTCAATTTGACTAAAAATTTCTGGGAAGAACAAGAATGCTTTCCGCAAACTAAAGTGACAACAAACTGTAAGAACCCAATAATTACCCCTGTGGGATCATCATGATTGCCATGAATACTAAACACTGGAATCGAAATGTTGAGATTGTCATCTTGGTAGTTCACCCACGGAAACCTTAAAAAAAAAAAAATTAATGTTTGTATAAAAGACAAAAGCTGTTTTCCCCAATATCCTCCTCTAAAAAAATTAATGCAATTATGGGCTAACTGGATGATATAAGTAGGCAGACGACCACTAGTTTGGAGCTTTAAAGAAATAAAATGACCAGCAACAATTCATTTCAATTCAAGTTTGAAGTATCTCAAAGTACTACACTTTAAAGAAAACACTGCAATATACAGTATTTGTGAATTGTATCAAAGAGAGTTATACCTGACTAATGGAAAGTAAAGAGGCCTTAAGAATTTTGAAAGCCTTTGTATATAGTTACTTGTAGGAGAAGGAGGGAAGGAAACACATCCACTTTGGAATCCAAGATTCAAAATTCCAGCTCTATCACTTACTACTTGTGCAATTTACAAGTCTCCCACCCACTTCTGCCCCTAGTCATCCAGCTCCTCTTCTCAGAGGCAAATGCAATTTAGAACTTCTAGTGTATCTCTGCAATAATGTCCTATACCTTTATTAGCAAATAAATGCATCTCCTTCCTTCTTACACAAATGGTAGCACAATACAGATTTCTGTACCCTGCTTTTTATTTCATGTTTTAGAAACCATTCTATATCACCACATAAAGAGCTTCCTTGTGCTTTCTTTGGCGGGACAGTACTTCAATTGAATGGGCTATCATAATGTGTTTAAGTAGTTACCTAACCCATGGACATTTAGAATATTTCTAGTTTTTTTGCTTTACAAATAATGCTACAGTGGGTAATCTTGTACAAAGTTGCCCTTGTGCAAGTATAAGAAAATATCTAGAAGGGAATTAGGTCAAAGGATAAGCATGCATTTGTAAATTTGAAAATACTGCCAATTTCCCTCCATAGAAGTTGGACAGATTTACATATAACAGCAATGCATGAGAGACAACTTTTTCCCTTTATTCTATCAACATAGTAAGCCACCAAGCTTTTAAATTTATGTCCGTGGTTCTAAACCCTAGCAGCATGTTAGAATCATCTAGGAATCTTTTAAGAAGTAACAATGCCGATGACACACTCAGAGAGTATTTGACCTGGAGACTGTTATTAGTATCTTTTTTAATATTTCTAGGTAACTACAATGTGCACCCAGAATTGAAAATCACGGATCTATGCCAATCTGACAGGAGAAAAATATCTCAGTAGAGCTTAAGTTTGTATCTTTCTTATGAATGAATTCTATTTTGTATTTTTCATTCTTATATTTAAATGCCACTTTTTCTGTGAACTATATCCGTATTCTTTACCTACGTTTTTATTAACTCTAGGATTTTTAAAATTGATTTGAAACAGCTATTTATCTATTGGGGAAATTGGACTTTAATTTGCAATGAGTTGGAAATATTCTTCCTAGTTGAACTCTTGACTTTTCATTTTGTTTCAGGCAGTTTTTGCCATGCACAAATTTACTTTTACAAAGACAAACATCAGTATTACTTTTATGGCTTCTCAGTTTGTATCATACACAGAAAAGCCTTTCCCACATCTAAATTTTTTAAAAAATGTCTAATAGTTTCTTCTAATACATTTATTGAATAATCCATGTTTCTCCTGGAGATATGAAACACCACCTTCTCCAAACACTAAATTCCTACATGTGTTGAGGCTATTTCTGGAAGCTCTATACTCTTTCATTTATCTGCCTATCAAGTCATGCATCATATCACATTTTTAATTACTGTAGCACTGTATTTTTTCCAGTTTTACCATGAAATAATTGACATAGAACAACGTGTAACTTTAAGGTATACAATGTTATTTAAAACACATATACTGCAAAATCACCACTACAAGCTAACACTTGAATCGTGTCACAAAATTACTGTTTCCTTTTTGTGACAAGAATATTTGAAATCTACTCTTAGCAACTTTCAAGTATAAAATAAAATATCATCAACTACAATCACTATGTTGTACATTAGATTCTCGGAACTTACTCATCTTGTAACTGAAAGTTTATACTCTTTGATCAACATCTCCCCTTTTCCCTCAAGTCCTGGCCCCGTTGACCATTCTAGTCTGTTTCTGAGTTCAGCTTTGTTAGATTCCGTACGTTAAGTGATGTTACACGGTACTTTTCTTTGACTTATTTCACAGCGTAATGCCCTCAAGGTCCATCCATGTTACAAATGGCAAGATGTCCATCTTTCTCATACATGAATAATATTTCATGTTCATATTCATATATACATGCCACATCATCTTAATCCATCTTTATCCCTTCATCCATTGACAGGCCCTTAGGTTGTTTCCATATCTTGGCTACTGTGAATTAATGCCACAATGAACACAGAAATGGAGATTACCTCTTCAAGATCCTGTCTGCATTTCTTGTGGATACATATCCAGAAGAGGACTGTTTGATCATATAGTAGTTCTATTTTTAATTTTTTGAGGATCCACTATACTGCTTTCCATTGCGGCTTAGTCAATTTACATTCCCACCGACAGTGCACAAGGGTTCCCTTTTCTCCACGTTCTCCTCAATACCGGTTCTCTCTTATCTTTTTGATTTTAGGCATTCTAACAGGTGTGAGGTGATATCTCATTGTGGATTTGATTTGCATTTCCCAGACGACTAGTGATTTTGAGTAACTTTTCATATACCTGTTGGTCATTTGTAGATCTTCTTTAGAAAAATGTCTATTTGGTTCCTTTGCTTGTTTTTAATTGGATTGGATTTTGTTTTTTTTTTTCTATTGAGTTATATAACTTCTTTACATATTTTGGATGTTAACCCCTTATCAGATATATGACTTTATTCTTTTCTTCCATTCCATAGGTTGCCTTTTCATTCTGTTGGTTTCCTTGATTGTGCAGAAGCCTTTTAATTTGATGTAGTCCCACTTGTTTATTTTTCCTTTTGCTGTCAAATCCAAAAAATCACTGCCAAGAATGATGTCAAGGAGCTTACTCTCCATGCTTTCTCCTAGGAGTTTTATGGTTTCAGGTCTCACACTCAAGTCTTTAATCCATTTTGAGTTGATTTCTGTGTATGGTATAAGAGAGGGAGCAGCCTCATTCTTTTGTATGTGGCTGTCCAGTTTTCCCAATACCATTTATTGAGAGACTGTTCTTTCCTCATTGTAGTCTTGGCTCCTTTGTCATGAATTAATTGACCAAATATGCATGGGTTCTGTGCTCTTTAATCTGTTGTAATGACCTATATGTCTGTTTTTATGCCAATACCACATTGTTTTGATTACTATAGCTTTGTAATACAGTTTGAAATCAGCAAGGGTGATGCCTCCCCACCTTTATCTTTCTTAAGACTGTTTTGGATATTTGGGGCCTTTTGTGGTTCCCCACAAATTTTACGATTGTTTGTTCTACTTCTATGAAAAATACCATTAGAATTTTGATAGAGATTGCATTGAATCTAGATCGCTTTGGGTAATAAAAACAGGTTAACAATATTAATTCTTCTGATCTACAAGCACAGAATATCTTTCCATTTTTTGTCTTTACTTTATTTCACCAATGTCATACCTTTCAGTATACAGACCTTTCACCTCCTTGATTAAATGTATTCCTAAATATTTTACTCTTTTTTTCTTATTCTTTTTCTTAATTTCTCTTTCTGCTAATTCATTGTTAGTATACAGAAATGCAATTGGTTTTTGTATACTGATTTTGTACCCTGTAGCTTTACTGAATTCTTTTATTAGTTCTAACAGTTTTCTGATGAAGTCTTTCAGGTTTTCTATATATAATATTGTCATCTGCAAACAGAGATGATTTTACTTCTTCCTTTCTGATTTGGATGCCTTTTATTTCTTTTTCTTGCCTCACCACTCAGGCTAAGACTTCTAATATGATACTGAATAGGAGGGGTGAGAGTGGGAATCTTGTCTTGCTCCCCATCTTAGAAGAAAAGCTTTCAGCTTTTCACCACTGGGTATGTTAGCTGTGGGCTTGTCATATGTGGCTTTTGTATGTTCCCTCTATGCCCACTTTGTTGGGGGAGTTTTTATCATAAAAGGATGTTGAATTTTGTCAAATGCTTTTTCTGCATCTACTGAGATGACCATATAATTTTCATCCTTCCTCTTCTCAATGTGGTATAATACACTTTCATATCTAATGGGGCTAGTCATTACTTATCAGTCTTTTCTTTCAGTTTCTCTATCTTTTCTCTTGTCTATTTTTCTATATGAACTAGTAAACTAGAAGGGGGAATTATTCAGCATACAGCACAAAGAGATAAAGTAATGGACAATGTAACAAAAAGATTAAGACATATAAATAATATTCAAAAAGAGAAAGAATAGGAAACAATGTTTGAAAATGTAATGGATAAGAATTTCCTAAAATTGCTGGAAAAAAAAATTGAAATGCATGATAGCCAAGCAGAACAATTAGAACTAAATCCACAGCTAAATGTCATAGTAAGACTGCTAAATGCTAAGGACAATGAGAAAACTTAATAGTTACAAGTGAGTGTTTTCTTTTTGTCAGTTACTAGTCTAAGCAATTTTCTTATTAATTCAACTACTTCTCACAACAATTCTGTAAGATCACCACTATTGTTTTCCCATTTTACAATTATAAAAGTAAGGTAGAGCAAAGCCAGGACTTGAAATCAGATGGTCTTGTACCAGAATCATGCTTTTAATCACTATGTTATACTGCTCTTCCAGCAACTAAAGTAATAGCAGACTTCCCAACAGCAACAAAAAATGAGAGTTTACTACTCACTGACAGTCAATGAAAAAACTACTGAAAATTGTACTTCAGAAAGAAGGAAACGGAATTCAGAGGAAAAAATGAAATACAAGAAGCAACAACAGTGAGCAAAGAAATAGGTAAACAGGTTTGCAAAGGCGGGTGGAGCAGTTTAAAAATAGCATGCAGTTTATTTTTATTTATTTTTTTGTTAAGATTTTTATTTATTTATTGAGAGAGAGAGAGAATGGTAGAGAGAGAGAGCATGAGAGGGAGGAAGGTCAGAGGGAGAAGCAGACTCCCTGCTGAGCAGGGAGCCCGATGCGGGACTCGATCCCGGGACTCCAGGATCATGACCGGAGCCGAAGGCAGTCGCTCAACCAACTGAGCCACCCAGGCACCCATAGCATGCAGTTTAAAAATAAGATGAAAGAGCGGCACCTGGGTGGCTCAGTTGTTAAGCATCTGCCTTCGGCTCAGGTCATGATCCCAGGGTCCTGGGATTGAGCCCGCATCAGAGAGCCTGCTTCTCCCTCTCCCACTCCCCCTGCTTGTGTTCCCTCTCTCGCTATGTCTCTCTCTGTCAAATAAATAAATATAATCTTAAAAGAAAAATAAAAAGATGAAAGAAAGAAGAAAACACTAAAGTTCTAGATCTGAATAGAATACAGGTAAAGATACTGATCAGAATTCCTAAAAACAAGGCTATATGTTAAAAATTACAGGAATCTTTTAAAATCCAATTCTATATTCAGCGAAACTATCAATCCAGAGTAAAGGTAAATATAGCCGTTTTCTTACAAACAAAAATCCCTTAAAAATTTACCTCCCAACATGAACTTATTTTAAGAAATAAATAGATAGGTCTGTTTTCATGGGTTAGTACATATACATGTATTTCTTAACTCTAGGCACTGAGAGAGCCTAGAAGCAGTGGCAAGGTAATAGCAATGTGCAAGCCCAGCATCTAGATTTGGGCTTTCAAATACCATTCTCCATAGGAATCAGGGCTCCTTAAAGAAATGGATGGGTCTAAAACTATGAAAGGGAAAATAAAAAATTAGCCTGGAGCATCTTCTAGTGCTAAAAAGTAAGAGGGAGTGGGGGAAAGATGAGGGTATATCAAAAGCAGACAGGAATCAATCTGAAAAAGCACCCAATGGCTAAACCTAGAACAAATCATTTGAGCAACAAAATAAGATTACAATAGTATTAAATTATAATCCAAAGGAAAAAATGGGTTCATACTGATGTAAACAATTAAATAAGTTCCTACTGAAAGACAACTGAGTAAATAAATTAACAAATGCGGGAAAAGGGACAGATCTTCCTTACAGAAGAATTCTAATTAATAAATGTAGCAAAAATGTGGGAAACAGAAAAACCCCATTAAAACACCACAGTTAATAACTGCTATAGGCAAGAACCACTGATGAATGTTAAAATTAGTGGACAAACTTTAAGGAAATACAGAACGGTGTACAGCCTCAAAATAGCTCCCTCAAAATACTTACTAATGACTATGGTAGTTTCAATACGCCCATATCCTGTGACACTCCTTCCTCTCTCTAGGAAGTGGAACTTAAATCCCTCTGAGTGTGGGCTGCACTTAGCAACTCACTTCTAATGAACAGCGTATGGAAAGGGAAAAATTCTAACTTGACAGCAGAGAACCCTGGCAGACACCACCTTAATCAAGAGATCAAGGTTATCCTCGCCAATAATAAGCCACGTTGACAGCATGTACTCCCAATATGCAATGAGAAGGGCACTTCACCTCTGTGGAATATTTTTTCCTGAAAACCCACAATCCTGGTCTAATCATGAGAAAAACCCAAATTGAGGGACAGTCTATAAAATAGCTGACCAGTATACCTCAAAAAATTATCAGGAAAATGAAAGGTAAGAAAACACAGAAAAACTGGCATAGTGTAAGGAGACTGAGAGAACACTTCAACTACATGCAGTGTGGTATCCTGTACAATGTTTAAGAAAAAACATTGGACTATCTTTAAGACATGGGGTTCTAGGTGGATATCGTCAGTCAGTCCCCAAAGTACAAATCTTAAGGAGAAAAAAATGATATATCTGACTAAAATTAAGTATTTGTCAAGAAAAGTCTCCATAAAAAAGTCAAAAGACAATCCACTGACTAGAAAAAAGAAATACATGCTTAACAAACATTTAGTCTCCGACGCCTGGGTGGCTCAGTCGTTAAACGTCTGCCTTCAGCTCAGGTCATGATCCCAGGGTCCTGATATCGAGCCCCACATCGGGCTCCCTGCTCTGCGGGAAGCCTGCTTCTCCCTCTCCCACTCCCCATTGCTTGTGTTGCTGCTGTGTCTCTTTCTGTCAAATAAATAAATAAAATCTTAAAAAAAAGTTTAGTCTCTAGAATATATAAACAACCTCTGCAAATTCAACAGGAAAAGAAAAAAAATCCTAATTTTTTAAATGGGTAAAGGATATGAACAGGAGAAGATACCAAAATGTACAATAAAAATTTGAGAAGATACTCAGTCCCACAATTTGGAAAATATAAACTAACACAATGATGTACGGAAAATTCAAAGAATTATGCTTACTATGAAAATAGCTTTTAGTGAAGGTGAAATGGCTGTTAAAACGTGTTTGTCTTTTACAGAAAATATTATACACAAGGAAACGTTCACTTAAGCATTTAAATATACTTACTTACTAAAACCAAAGTTGACTGACTGATCGCTGAGAATTTCAAACTGTACAGGACGATCACCCATGCAGTATTTTCTTAATAACTCAAGGCAGGTATGTAATGTTTTTCTTGAGGGCTTATTTTCATGAAAAAGATCACCACCTAACAAAATAAAATCCACCTAATCAACAGAAAACAGTGTGAAAATTAGTATGTTTTATGGGTAAGAACGTTAAACGTATAGATTAAAGGGGTAGGAAAAAAACTCATAAAAGATATTATTGTGTATGAAGATTTAAAGTTTTATATTTTATTTATTCAAGGGGCCTGCCAGTCTGTTGATTAATCTGACTCCAACTCAAGTTCTTAGGCCACCTTTCAAAAAAGCCACCTTCAAATTATTATACCAAACCTCTGACTCATTCTACTGGAAGTGACCATTATTTCTTTTTTTGTTGTTGTTATCTAAATCAAACACAAATTTAGCACTTTAACAGCACCTATGGACAAGAGAGCCAATTCAATTCAGATTACTCATTCAATTCATTCAACAATTATTTAGGGCTCCTACAGGCACTGGCACCTAAGGAAATAGCAATCTACAAAACAGATGATGTCCATGCTCTCATTAAACACTGACAAAGTGCAATTCCCTGTACTGGGCCCTGAGGATACAAATGATGGACAAAATACAACCTCTTTCCTAAATATGTTCAGAGTCTAATAGAAGAGACAAAGTGTTACACATCTGAAGAGAACTCAAACTCAGACATGCCTTAGAATGGGTATGTAAACAAACCAGGAGCAGCAATGACATCACAATCAATTCTAACTGAAGGGAAAAAACTCATCTGAGGACAGGGAGTCCAGAAGGGATATGCCAACACGGTGGCGTCTGAGTTGCACTATATAGAATAAATGAGACTTTAAGGAAGAGCATTCTAGAAACAAGAGAGAAGAAATTATATAGAAAAAGTGTTCAACACTCACACTTTCAGGAAGTGTATAATCTACCTAAAGAAACTTGATTAAATTCTTAATTATACAAGAGAACCCAGCAGTACAGATCACCTGGGCTACAGCAGTGAGGGGGAGCGGAATACAGCACCCCCAAAAGTGTCACTTTGGCACGTGGATTGTTTTGAGCTAAAGGCAGTTAAGACTGGGCAGACTCAGGAAAAGCTTTTTTTTTGTTTTATCCCCCTTAACTGCCTGAAAGAATTTAGACAGGGGGCCTATACCAGGAAGAGAACTATTACCAGAGATAACTTTTTATCTCTACATGGCATGGCAAACATTTGCTCTTCCCATCTTCCTATGAATTATCTTCCTCCCCTTTAAAGCCCCAGACCTCTACCCCCTCTCTCCTCAGCTCAGGATGGCAATATAAGCCTCAATTACCTGTCAGGGAGTCTAATATATTTTTTTTTAAGATTTTTTTTTTTTTTAATTTGAGAGAGAGAGAATGAGAGATAGAGAGCACAAGAGGGAAGAGGGTCAGAGGGAGAAGCAGACTCCCCGCTGAGCAGGAAGCCTGATGCGGGACTCAATTCCGGGACTCCAGGATCATGACCTGAGCCAAAGGCAGTCGCTTAACCAACTGAGCCACCCAGGCGTCCCCAGGGAGTCTAATATTTTTATGAGGCTCCTGTACATACAAAATTTGTTTTGCTCCTGTTCATGTGTCTTATATCGATTTAATTATTAGACCAGCCCAAGAACCTAAGTTTTCCATCCTACAGTAGTCAGAGAAGCTTCAATAAAAGTGTGGGACTAAAGCTAGGTCTTCAAAAATGAACAAGAGTTAAGGAAGAAAAGGATCACAACAGCATGGGAAAAAAACAACAAAGAAAACAAAACAAAAAACATTTCGAGGGGGAGTAGTGATCTAAACGATACAGTTTCACTTTTGCAAGACGAAGAGTTCTGGAGGTTGGTTACGCAGCAACGGGAATGGGCTTAATGCTGATAAAGTATACACTTAAAAATGGTTAAGATGGTAAATTTTGTTATGTGTATTTTACCACAAATTAAAAAAAATTCTTTTCATTTTTAAAAGCTGGTTTGTGACTCCAGGGAAGGCTGAAAAGGGCACAACTTGCTTCTGTGGTATTCCTGTCAAAAGTGAATCTAACCATGAGGAAATATCAGACAAATCCAACTGAAGATTCTCTAGCAGGAAACAGACCTCCTTCGGCTCACAAGTTTCTCTGCTCTCAGGGATAAGAGGAAGCCATCTTAAAAGGAGCTCGTACTAGATACTCCCTTATTCATTAACAAAATTTTAAGAGTTACCTACTGCTTGCTAGATCCTTCCTAGATTTTAAGATACAGCATGAACAAGCAGAAAAGATTTTTCACTCTCATGGGAGTTGACCTTCTAGTGGAGACGACTGATAGTAAACAAGTAGCCAATTCAATATATTATTTCAGACGGTGTTATGAAAAAAATAAAGAGTAACTGAAGTGTTTGGAGATATCCAGGAAGACCTCTCCAAAAAGGTAAAACATGCTCCCCAGACGTGCAGCAGTCCCAGAGTAGAACATCCTAGGGTGGATGGAGCATACTGAAGGATGCAGAGAGTTGTAAAAGTCTCCTGGCAGGGGCCAGATCAAGTTGAGCCTTGTAGTTTGAATTTTATTTTAGTCAATGGAAGGCCACATGAAGATTTTAAGCAGCAGAGTGATAGGATCTGTTTTATGTTCACTTGGCTGCTATGCTGAATAGATGTAGGGAAAAAGAATGCAAACAGAAAGACCAATGGGGAGCCAATGCAGTCCAGCAAAATAGGATAAATGTTTTAGGCTAAACACATAGGCACAAAAACACTTTCCATATACATTCAGGTGGAAGAACCAAAGGACCTGCAGAAAAACTGAACAAAACTCTGAGGAAAAGTCAAGGTTGAAGATACTAATTTGTAAGTCACAAGCATTTATGTTCACTCCCCAACTCTCTCCTAAAATGTCCAGGACATTTCAAGGGCTTGCTGGAACGTCGACCTGGATGCCCTATCGGAATCTCCAACTCAAATAGTCTAAATCAGAATTCATCACCTTCCCACATAAAGAAGTACCTACCTCTTCCTTATTTAGAAGGTATTTCTATTATTGGTACCACCATTCACCCAAACTTAACATACTTTAGACTTTGTCCTCTCCCTTTCCCTCCCAAATTTAACACACTCTAGACATTGTCCTCTCCCTTTCCCTCAACTTCACCCCTGAAGTATGCAAATCTAATCTTTGAAATACCTCTTGCATTCACTTCCTCTTTTCCATCCCACGCCACGGTCTCCAATTCACCCTATACCCTGTTGCCAAAAGATTTTCCATTGAATTGGGTACAAACTCCTCAATCTGGCATTTGAAGCCCTCCTAATGCAGCTCAAACAGTCTTTCTGGTCTTTCAGCACGCTTTCTAACATATGGCCTACTAATGAGCCAAACCGACCTGTTGTACCCCTAACATACCTCATACTGTCTCACCTCTGTGCCCTTCTTCCTGCTTCCTGTGAAATGCACATTCTCTACGCTCTTCACCCATCAAAAGCCTACTCATTCTTCAAAGCCCAAGTTAAATGCCACCTCGTTCATTAAACTGATCTTGCTATCCTCTATATGTGATCTCTTCTACTTCTAAACTCCCAGAAAAGCTGATTGTAATTTTCTTATGGTTCTTACCACACAAGACCTTGCATCTGAGCATTATGGACATTTGTCTTACCTCACATACCAGTATCCTGTATGTTCTTGGCAAACAGAAACGATGAGTCATCTTTCCATTTCAAACAGAGAGTGCCACAGGATCCTGCACTCAGTAAACAACCCCATAAATATGTGTAAACTTTCACAAACTTCTAACAAAACCAACTCCTACTTGAATTAAGGTCACAAAACACTTAAAATCTACTTTGGATTTGTAGTATATTGATATTTAAGCAGGCAACGTGAGCACATGAGCCTATAAAACAAACCTCCAACTTTAAGAAAGGAAAAGAGTCTATTGACTAAGGGAGCATAGTAGAAACTGAAAAAATGTAAACCAAACTCACTTCCTTTTCCTGGGCAAGTCTTAAAATTTCATCCAGTGTTACAAATGTATCATTTCCTCTGACTGCATCTTTCTCCATAAATCCCAGATGAATATCTGTTGCAACTAAGATTTTAAATGTATTTTCATCATCACTATATAAAAAAAGAAGAAACATTTCAATATAATTCATTAAAAGATGCTCAAGAAGATTAAAACCTAAATTTAGAAGATATATAATAGTAGTTATACAGTAAAATCACTTTTTTAAAATAGCTTTTAAAATAGGTCTGAAAATTTGAAGCATTCAACAGATCTTCAGTGTTACATAGTTTGCCTACACCTAATTCAAAACAGAACAAACACACGTGAACTTTAAAAAGATTCTGTGACTCCTTTCAAAAAAGTATAACCTTATTATAACTCCAGTGTTACACACTCCTTTGGACCCTGGACCTAAAAGCTTCGTTGTTTTCCAATTCTGTTCCATCCTGAAATCCCAAGAGGATTTGACCCCATATCTAAACTTGCTATTTATCTATTTTGCACTCTTCAAGGAAAATCAGAGTTGACTTAATTTAAAAAGCTCTTCTTACTTTGTAAGTAGATTTTGTCCCAAAAAACTAGTAACTTACATTCAAGCCCCTAAAGACACCTGCTTGATTCTATTCCCTACATAAAGCTAGTGTTTCATTAACAAATCTGGCCAAGTAACAAAATAGAGTTACAATTCCATTTGAATTTGGTAGTATCCAAAGGTACTCTCATGTGAAGCAGCAATGTTGTAGTTATTAATACCTTCTTCAGTTTAATGTAACTTTTTTTTTTTTAAAGATTTTATTTATTTATTTGAGAGAGAGAGAATGAGAGACAGAGAGCACGAGAGGGAGTTTAATGTAACTTTTAACTTTCTTTAAAATACTTGGGGCACCTGGGTAGCTCAGCTGGTTAAGTGCCTGCCTTCCGCTCAGGTCAGGAATGTATCTCCGGGATCCCTGCTCAGTGAGGAGCCTGCTTCTCCCTCTCCCTCTGCCCCTCCCTCCCACTCGAGCTCTCTTTCTCAAATAAGTAAATAAAATCTTAAAAAAAATTTTTAAAAACCTTTCTTTAAAATACTTAAGTATCTATGATCTCTTCTCAACTTCCACATGTAAAGAAATAGGTATTTCTATCTCTGAAAAATGAGAAAACTAAACAGAGAAATTAATTTATCGCACAAATAAGTGCAAGAAACAGGATTTAACCACTCAGTCTATTTTCACTAAACCATAATGAACTTAAAACAACTTTTAGATATATCTCCAAAATTGAAATCTTTATATATAAGATTTTTCCAGAAAAGACTTCTCTTCAGAAACTTCAAAGATGAAATACATGCACACAGTTCTAACTGCTACACACACACAGGCTGATCAGAATACTTTCAAAATCACATTACCCTATGCAACCATAGCAATTTATAAAATATTTTCAAATGAATTCTCTCATTTAAACATCTAAATTAATCTGAGAAAGGCAATTTTGTTCCAATTATATACATAAAGTGAAGAAATTGATGCAAGGTTCAGAGAATTGCTAACTTGCCCAGGGTCACACAGTATTAACCAAGGAACTGAAATCGGGGTGAAACACTCCAAGTCTAAAGCTTTTTCCACATAACTTCTGATTCTTTTATTGATTTTCATTTTACTCAAATTCATTTCCAATTTATTCAATGCTAGAGCAATTTACTACTCTAGCAATCTGCTTAAACAGGCTTGCCTTGACCAGTGTGACTTCCCCACAAAAGTTCAAGAATATTGATAGCGCTAATATTTCAAGACAAAACCTAAGAATATAAACTTATATACTACACTAATACACCAAATTACTGCAAGGCCTCAATCTATAGCTATATATTATCTTTTAGTTAGCAAACACATTAATTTTTTAACATTCTAAATATTCTTTTTAATGACTAACATTTCTGTTCATAGGCAAGCTATTTACTGCTAATTTTTTAAATATGTTTTCGTTCATGGTGATCATAGTTGATGCGCTTTAGGAATCCAAAGCAACAAAAAAGATCCCAGAAGACAGGTTCTTACAGGGCATCCGCAGGACTCATTTTTATGGTCAGTCCAGCTCCTCTGGAACCAGTTTTCTCTCCAAGTACTCCTGGGTTGTGTGATCAAATACGTCAGAAAACTCACTCGATTCCAAATTCTAGCAAATTCTAAAAGCAAAATTACATTATTGTAAAAACATATTCTTTTAAAAAACCACCAATTTGGGGAATCTCATTTTCATCTACGCCCGTACTATATTTTTATTTTTTAAGGGCTAACAATAGAAAATAGCACATCTCCAGTACCATTTCACCATTATGATTAAACTATTGGAAACTAATGTTTATCAGATAAATGGACAGAAAGGGACACATACAGCAGTTCTGGTTTAGCACACAAACAACTCTGGACATGCAGAATGTTTTAAACAGCCTGCACAGGCTACCCTGGGGCGTCGAGAAAATCCCGTAATTCCTGCTCAACCACAGGACCGTTTAAAGCAATGGTCCAGTAAACGAAAAGAGAAGGGCCCAACCTTTAAGAACTAGTGTAAATAAACAAACATGTGCTCCGCGGAGAAACGCCATGCGCCCGCAAGGCAAGTGGAAAGGGCCAAAATATTCCGGGAACCCCTCCCACGCCCGGACTCCTGGTTTCTTCCAGATTCTAAGCCTCAACACACCACCCCCACCCCCAACTGTCTGAAGCCAGAATCAGAACCCTCCAGGGCTTAGCTGACCCGTCCCATTCTTTCCAGAGAGTCAATCCCCTTAGGGCTTCCGCCCGGGATCCCATAAAATAGGAGGCGGTACGATTCCTAAATTACCCCACACCTACACTATCCAAAGCCCCCGCACCAGACCCCCAGGCTGTCTTTTACCCGGGAAGAAGGAGCGGGATTCGTGAGAAAAAAAGCAACTGCACCTCGTGAGCCTGCACGTTAAAAAGAACATGCGGGGCCATAAACCTGAATTAGGCAGGGGGGGGTGGGGGGAGGGGAAGGCAACTCTTTCTCTCGCGATACCTCTGATGACGTAGCGCTCCAAGTCTTCTTCGGCTTTCATTGGCTGCCGAATGCCGTGAGCGAGCCGGGAAAGTAGCGGCGACGCCCCGCCCTCAAGCAGGAGCCAATCCTCAGAAGCCGAGGGACGACCCCGGAAGCGAGGTTCGCGACGGCGATGTTTCCCTTCTTTAAGGTGGGTAGCTCTTACTTGGCCCGGACCGCGGTCCTTGATCCTCTCGCGCCACCTAAAAACTGCTGGGCCCTTGGGGGCGGGTCACTTGTCGACCCCGAATGAGCCCTGCAGTTCGGGCCGCGTCGTGGGTCCAGGGTAGGGCTGGAGCGGCTTCCCCACTCTTGGCTGTTTGGAAGGCCGTAGGCGCGACTCCGGGCCTGGGAAGTGACCATCGGTGCCAGAGGGCCGGGACTGGGGGCCTTCTCCCTCACTCCCACTCCCCAGAGTTAAGAGTATTCGGACCCATTTATTCCCTGCTTCCCCTTATTTTCACCCCTGGATCCCGGGTTCAGCACATCTGTACTGCTTTGTGCTGATAGCAGTAAAATATAGTACAGTAAAAAAATAATGTGAAACTTTTGAATTAGAAAACTTGACCTTTTAGTTCCATTGAAGCGTCCCTAATGTAGGGCAGGTTGTTTTATTCGGCGCCTTCACCGGTAAAAAGGGGTTTATGACCGCATCTGTCACTGAGTTATTTGTGAGGCGTTGACATAGTTTAGATCTCTGTCGAAATGTGTTCTTTTAAACATACCCTATTTCTTCTTGGTTGAGGATCATCGAGTAAGAATCTTAATCGATTTTTTAAAGTCCTGAGTCAGGGAGATGCACCTAGGTTTGACTCTTTAAATTAAATCATCTAAAATTAGAAAAGAAATTTTATATGTGAGTTACTGTATCTGGAGCAGTAAGTTCAGAATTTATTTTAAAAAGTGGGGGGAGTTTTTATAGAAAGGAAAGGAGGATAAAATATGTGCCTTATTGTTTCTGTATTTGATATAATTAAATGAACTTTACGGTATCTGTTCACAGTGTTTAATGAACTGATGTAGGATCATTTTTGTGTTGCAAGGTTCAGGAAATAGTTTGACAGTAAAAAAAATGAGAACCCCAATGGGAGTTCCTACATACAGATCACAAATACAGAGAACAAACTGGTGGTTACCAGAGGGGAGAGGGGTGAGGAGATAGACAAAATGGATGAAAGGTTTGAGGAGGTACAGGCTTCTAGTTATAAAATAAATAAGTCACAGAGATGAAAAGCACAGCATAGAGAAGATAGTCAACAATACAGTAAGTGTAGTCTGTAATACGGTATACTGTGAGGAGCATTGAGTAATGTATAGAATTGTCTAATCATTGTGTTTGTACACCTGAAACTAACACTGTGTATCATCAATTCTTCAATAATAAAAAGTGAAAATTCCAGAAGAACTAATAAAACATAATTCTGATGGGTCTCAGTAGACTCTGAAAAGCTGGGAAGAACTTGGAAATCCTTTAGTACAGTCATTATATTTTACAATGAAGTAACAGGCCCAGAGACGCTATTAGTCATAAGTGATAAATTTAAACCTAAGGTTAGTACTTTTGGCACGAGTAATATCTAATGCCACATTAGGATTGAATACTGTTAAACTTGTGAAATTAGAAAGAATTTAGTATCTTAAGGGAAGTCCAACTCTGGAACTTCTCAGTAGCCATTCCAAACAAAATTAAGTGATAGGGCTTTAATTAGATTTAATTCTACAAATATTAATGCCCTCTGTATAAGTAGGACATAAATATAAGTTAAATACAGTCTCTATCCTTAAGCTTATAATCTTCTAAGGAAATAATTAGTGCTGAAATAAGATAATAGGTAGAACAAAAAAGGCTACCAGAGAGAAATCTAATTTGGAAGTTCAAGAAAGACTCAATGGAAGAGAAAACATCTGAGAAGAGCCTTGAAAGACTGGTAGGATTTCAACAAATGTAATCAGGAACCTGAGAAATGGTATTTTTAAAAGATATTTATTATTTGCATTTTTAAAAATTGGTTAAGATTTAATAAGCTGTGTAACTCTTTAATACTGGTTTATAAATTAATGTGTCAGCTTAGCTGAATTAATGTCACTTCCTTCAAGAAGCCTTCTCTAATCCTTTAGGACTGTGTTCATTATAACCCTCTTGTATACTCATTGTGTCTGGACAGAATCCTGCCATGGCACAGCTCATGCTGTTGTTGCCAGTCACCTCCACTAGACAATAACCTTCCTGAGGTTAAGACATGGACCTTGTTCATTATTGAATCCCAGTACCCAAAGACTGGCATGGACCAGGCATTCTATTCATATTTGTTGAATGGTGAATGACAGCTGAAATTCAGTTCAGAACAAGAAGCCAACTAAGAACTATAGTTGTCTATCAATGAATGGGACTCCTTTTTAAAGCAGTGAATTTTCCCAAGCTGAAATTATTAAAGTAGAAATAGGATAATTATTACAGATGTTATAATGAAGATACTTGGATTGATGAGAGATTTGTACAGATTCCTTGGGGCTATTCCGTCTCTAAGAATGCCTAAGTCTTTGAAGTAATTTATTAGAAACTAAAAGTTTTTGTTTCTGCTTTACATCATCTGTGTGTCTAGTTAAAAAAATCATGAATGTGCCTGTTTTTTAAATTATGGTTTAAAAGCTTTAAGCATTTATCACTCTTAGTATAATACAATAGTATCGAAACCAATAGATTCAGAATAATATAACCATTGACTTAGTAGAAGAAAAAATAAGGAGTTTTAACCATTAAAGGTATAGATAACAAATTTCAGCTCTGGTATTTAGAGAATGTAAAGACTACCAATAAAACCAAAAAGTTTAGACAGGGTTTATTGTGCATGTTTGGAAGACTTTGTAATTGATAAACAGTTACTGTTTTGCTAATAATTTTTGTGTTTGTGTTTCCAGATCTTGATGGATAAAATAAAGCAGATATAATTCACCTCTAGAAAGATTATTTATACCCTGGCATTTGAAATGTTTTGTATTTAGTGTCATAGTAAAAATGGAAAAAGGGAAAGTAAATGATGATGGAAAACCAGACCCAGAAAATTCCTTGGACTTTTCTGAACATTTTAACCAACTTGAATTGTTGGAAACACATGGACACCTTATTCCCACTGGTACCCAAAGTCTCTGGGTAGGGAATTCTGACGAAGACGAGGAGCAAGATGAAAAAACTGAAGAGTGGTATCAATTGCAAGAAAAAAAGATGGAAAAAGATCCAAGCAAATTGCTTCTTTGGGCTGCGGAAAAAAATCGGGTAAAAAAACAAACAAAACAGTTAAAGAGGAAACCATAATATAGTAGGAAAAGTACTGGATTCAGAGCCAGAAGACCTGTCCCTGAACCTCTATTTGGTTTGTAACTTTGGGTAAATCCTACTGTTCCTGAACCTCTATTTTCTTACCTATAAAAATGGCCATGATAATACCTGTATCTTTTATACAGGATTTGAGGATCGAATGAGGCAATGTCCATGAAAGGACATAGTAAGTCACAAAGCATCCTACTGGGTATTATTTGGAAATTTAAGGGATAATTATAAAGTTAGCAAGAAATCACCTGTATTTTTAAATCATTTATATTAAGTCATTAAGATCATCATAGAGACAACTATCATTTAGAAGAGGGAGGATAGGAATTAACATGTTTTGAATATAAACTATACCATGTGCTTTACTACATTATTTAATTTAATCCTCATATATCCCCACAAAATAAGTAATATTCTTCCCTTTTACAGTTTAAGAAAATGGGATTCAGGAATATCAATTTGCCCAGTATCATGTAAGCAGTATCATCAAATATATTTTTCCCACTCAGCCACTTCTACTTCATTTTACTAAGTTCTTCCATGCTGGTGGTAGTAAATTAATAACCAAAAAGGTCCTGCATTTTTTGGATAACTTTTTCACCCAGGAGCATACTGCATCCCACCAGAGATCCAGAGACCAAACTGAAAATCACTTCCTGAAAACATGTGTCTAAGGTTGTTTTAGTTTGAAGGAGTTGAGCTCCTTAATCTCTAGATTTCCTTGTTACCGTTGTATTCTTCTGAGAAAGAAATTTATTTTTCAAAGTTTTATGCACAATGTATATTGTTGCGATAATCCTACTGTAGAAAAATCAGTTATTAGGTTTTCACTAATGAAGTGTAAAATATTAAATACAGTTATAATCTGTATTATTCATCTAGGACTAAAGCTTATATGCAGTGGGCCTTAATTGGGCCAGGAGTAAGTGCATGATAGTCATACATTCGATACTGATTCGTGATTTTCAGAGAGTCACATTCTTAGGAAGCAAGAGTGTGGTTAACACTAACTTGTGCATTCTTAAATCTGTGGCCATCTGCCCCCCAAAGAAATCTTAAATCATTTTTATCTTAAAGTCTTCTGCTAACAAGTTCTTATGGAACTTAAAAAAAAAATTAACACCACTAGACAGTTTAATTTTCTTCATTTACTGTTTTGGGTCACGTTGGGTTTTGAAAAGGTCCCTTTTCTTCTCAGCTTACCACAGTGCGGAGACTGCTGTCTGAAAAGGCCACTCACGTGAACGCTAGAGATGAAGATGAATATACCCCTCTTCATCGAGCAGCCTACAGTGGACACTTAGACGTGGTGCGTGAGCTGATCGCACAAGGGGCAGATGTCCATGCAGTGACTGTGGATGGCTGGACACCCCTGCACAGTGCTTGTAAGTGGAATAATACCAGAGTAGCTTCTTTCTTACTCCAGCACGATGCAGATATTAATGCCCAAACAAAAGGCCTCTTGACCCCCTTACATCTCGCCGCCGGCAACAGGGACAGCAAAGATACCCTGGAGCTCCTCCTGATGAACCGCTACATCAAACCAGGTCTGAAAAACAACTTGGAAGAAACGGCCTTTGATATTGCCAGGAGGACAAGTATCTATCACTACCTCTTTGAAATTGTGGAAGGCTGCACAAATTCTTCACCTCAGCCATAACGGTTCTAATAATTTTTTTGAGTTCCCAAGTACCAGTGCCTCCTTTGTGTGAGATAGGACATATCCCCGTGATACAAGGTTGACATCAAAAGTTTCACAGTAGAAATCCAGTGGTACACATTCCAATGCCCTTCCAAGCGACATGCCTAACCTTGATGTCAAAATATATTTGAAAGTTGTTTGGATACATCTTTACTGATCTATGTGGACTTTGTAATTTTTATCAGAAATAATTTTAACACACTTAAAAACTTGTAACGGGTTGTACAGAAAACATGATATTTTTGGTGCTGATCCAAGAGAAGTGTATTTTTAAATATTCCCCCATCCTGGGTCTTTGTGGAGTATTTAGTATATTGACATGTATTTTTATAAGGTGAGGTAACTCAGAATTTAATTTAAAAAATTCAAGTATACTGGTGCAGTTCAGCTGTCTTCTACACATCACTATGGCCATTTGCTTTCATTTTAAACCGTAAGAACTAACTTACTAGTGACTTGAATTGTCAGTTTAAGAAAATGTTAAAAGAGCTTAGATCTTTGTCTTTTAGAGTGTAGACCATTTTTAGCAAAGTAGTTAGCTAAAGTGTTTAGTTATATGAATGTTATATACTTTGAATGTTATATACTTTGCCTCCGCCACCACAGTTCACACAATCCTGTGGACAGTCCTACCTCACCCTGGTCAACCCACATGATCCTTCTTCCATTGGTGAGTCAGCATGACATTTTAGACATGCACACAACTCTACCTTGGTCCAAGAGATCATAATATATCTGCTCGCCAACTGGTTTTACCTGCCTAATCCTGTTTGGGGCACTGCTCAGATGGTCTCTCTCGTTCACAGGAAGTATCGATTTTTCCAAGGTCCTCCTTTTATACAAATCCTACAAAGGCAAAGAGACAAGGGAAAAGGAATTCTAAGAGTGAAGGGATGATGATTATACTGGGGCTAGATTATAAGTGGCTCAGGCTTTAAAAAGCCACAGTGTAGATGGTGACACAAGTATAAATATGAATATTCAGAAAAAAATAAAAGCTTTGAACAACAAAAATGGCACCAATTCTTTTTTTTTTTTTTTTTTTTTTTACCAGCACGTATCTCCCTTGGACCCATAACCTATGTATTCATGGAGCATACATTGATTGAGCAACTACTTGCTCAGTCTCCCCAGCAGGAGTTTCTGACTGACTACGTAGCCTCTCTGTGACTATTCCCAAAGGGTTTTTTCTCTTAACTTCTTAACACTGAGGAAGGGAAAGGAAACTAAACCAATGGGCCTCTTCTTCAGTTATATATTCACCAAGGTTTGTCTTTTTGAGCCAGCTCATGTGATCCAATCACTCTGGATTAACTAATAATGTTATTTAATCAAATATGTTAGGTGGTTTTCGGGTTAAAAAAACTGAATCATCTCAGAAAAGTTAATGTATGAACTGAGTCATCATGACAAATAGGATTCAAGAAAGAGGAGAGCTTTAACTATACTGTGATCTCTGGCTAGGAGAGCCTCAGTTTCAGAGTATCAATGTCTACGATGCAAGGGTTTGGCAGAATATGTGGGGTCCAGGGTGCCTGGGTGGCTCAGGCAGTTAAGCATCTGACTTGATTTTGGCTCAGATCATGATCTCAGGAAGGAGAGATGGAGCCCTGTGTCAGGCTCTATGCTGGGCGTGGAGCCTGCTTAAGATTCTCTCCCTCTGCCCAACCCCCCCACTCCCCCCTCCCCCCGCACATGCCCACATTCACACACTCTCTTTTTCTGTCTCTTAAAAAAAAGTGGCCCGATTTAGGGATACCAAATGATAGGTACAGCTGACAGGCAGTGACAATAGAATAGGACCCCATCTATCCTAGCAGACTGCTAAATGAGCTACCTGCTTACCTGAAAGTCACAGAGTCCATGGCTCCTTTCTTTGGAATGAGTTGCATCCATGGTTTATGTAAGCTTTCCACTTAAGTATGGGGCCAAAGAGGCCTCCTTATTTATGATAAGGAGCTGAGATGTGACTACTCCCTTGGTTTCAGGACTCAACATGCAACCAGTGCTGAGGAGCAAACTCCACATATAAGCAAAATCTCTTCTATCTCTGAGGGCAGAATTTGTATTGTTTGCTTCCTTTGTACTTTCCTTAGTATTTACTAGTGTTTCCTAACCACAGAAGGCATTCACTAATCATGCTTTTGACTCTTTACTTACCTGTACCTTCCAGTTTGCTTTAAGAAGGCTTAAAAAAAAAAAAAAAAACTCAGTTTGCAAACAAAATTTTCTCTAATCTGGCAGAGTTTATCCAAAGGCTTTTTTTTTTTTAAATCTGTTTTTCGTAAATCTGGGCTTAATTTTATTAGCTTATATGCTTAAGGAAATGTGCTTTGTCATTATTCAAGGAGCATATCATAATTCACAGGCTCACAGTGAAATGAGTTGGCTTTTTCTAAATCTTAAATATGCTTCTACAGGGAGCTTTCTGACCCACAACCTACCACAGTGATAGGATTTAGAGTCTTTATTCTATGGGTGTAAAAGCATTCATTTATTTCTATTCATTGGCATCTATCAGGACAAAAATCCAAACACTTCAATTCCTGGAAACACTGTTTATGTCATTTTCAAAGGTCCCTTTCAGGCATCAGAGGTCTCCAACCACAAGAAACCCAAGGAATAGGAAAAAAAAACAAAAGGATTATAGCAAATAATTACAAGGACTGAGAGGAAATCAGTTTCTGAGAGAAAATGTGTTTCCTGTATCCAGGGCTGAGAAGCTGAGAGTGGCTTATTTTTTGTTCTGTATACAGCTCCTCGATGCCTATTACATGAGTTCCTCTTTAAATTCATACCGAATTTTTCCCCCTTTCAGGATGAGTCTTATTAATGTTGAGCAAATGGAATAAAAACACTCATACTTGGTTCATCACTGATTATCCGGTCAATGCTCAGATACATCTAATAGCCGTCATTATGAATTTAATGACATGGCCACATTTGCAAGTGGATCTCAGAGGAGCAGGATTTGTAGGCTAGAAAATCCGCTTAATGAAATAAATATAAAATCTAAAAGCAAACTGCCACCTAATTTTTTTTCTTCTTTTCATCGCATATGTTCAACCTTTCATCTCTATTAGATGTACAGTCTTTGAAAATTAGGCAAACTTCACTGGAGAGTTAATGCGAATTGATAAGGAGCACTGTCTCCTGAGCAGTCACTGGAGTTCCGTTTTCAGACACAGATAACTTAAAGAGAGGCAATTTTTAGGAATCAAAAAAAAGGAGGGGGGCATCTGGGTGTTTTAGTCGGTTAAGCATCTGCCTTCAGCTCAGGTCATGATCCCAGGTTTCTGGGATAGAGCCCTACATTGGGCTCCCTGCTCAGCGGGGAGTCTGTTTCTC